CTCACGCTGGTCACTTGAATCTTTGAAACTTCTGGAGCATGCAAAGTGTGAATCGGACCCAAAGAGACGACAGCTCTGCAGATGTCGTGGTACAACTTCAATTATGGTAAAGAACGTGCGAGTCTTCCTCCTCCGAGGTCGGTGCCGTCACACTTTGATGCAGTGAATGATCCGAAGGCTATTCATAAATGGAAATTGGAGGAGTTTTTTTGTGATCACAAACAGGATCCCGTTCCAGTGGATGTACAATATGACTTGCTGTAGGACGAAGAGTCGTCGTGGGCTTGGAAGCATGCAGCTCAAAAGAAACAAAACATTGAGATTCTTCATGAACTAAGTGAATTGCCATAATATCTGTGGGCGACTCAGTTTTTGAGTGCTGGCTTTTCCTTATCTGTGTTCCCTTGGTGTTGTTCTCCAGTTTATTTCTGTTATTGTTTATAATATTTTGTTGTGTAGATGAAACTTTCATTTTTTCTTTTTTTTTTTACATATCCTTTTTGTTGCTGTTTCTTCTTCTTTTGGGTCGCGTGGTCACAACCCTGCAGTTGATTTACATCGACTGCCCTCTATCCTGGGCGCTGCGCACACGGGGAGTAGACGACACACGTACACGTCGGCACGCACTCCAGCCATAGCGAGAGGCAAGATAAGAGCAAAGCAACAAGGAAAGTAGAGGGGGGGAAATAGTGCACCATGCGCAAGTTTGTGGTGCCACGTTTTTCTTCTTTACCGTATTTTTTGTCTGTACTTTTGAGCGGCACACGGTGCTGTTCGTCTCTTTCCTCATCTGGAAACTCCGGTTGCAGCAGCAACAATGGGACTGCAAGTGGACCCACCATCGCACCGAAAAAACCAAAGCGACGTATATCCACAAATATAGACGCTTCTTCCCTTCTTGATCGTGTCCCTCGAGATCCTGGGGCTCATGCAGAGTTCTCAACAGCCGAGCTGGAACGCAAATTGGAAGAGTGGTCGAATATGAACCCACAGCAACTTCAAGAGCTTTATGATCGCCTAGAGAAGCAGGAGGAGGAGGAGAGCCGCGTACTCACGGAGGACTCATTGTATCAAATGGATGTGTCAATGCGGGACCGCTCTCGAGCCGCTGTGCGTGTCTTTTGGAAGGATGTGAATGTAGGACCTCTTGATGGTCATGAGGGGTGGTATACTGTCCTGGTAGATGGACGTAAAGTAAAGGCATTTGAGTCCACGCATGTTCTTGCAATTCCGAACGAGGCAATGGCATACTGCTGTGCGCAGGAGTATGCGGAGCAGTCTGGGTATTTGAACAAGCTCTTGATGCCTATGACGGACATGTGCAGTGGAGCACTAACTGTTTCCCCTCAGATGATTGCGCTGCGTGTGGACTATTTGATGTCTTTTTATCAGAATGATAACATTTACTTCCGTGCTGCCCCCATTGCGGAAGAGCAGGATCGTGTCATTGGACCCATTGTGGATTGGTTTTCACGTGCCTTTAATGTGGAAGTGCCAAGAATTGTGGGCATTGGTCATCCACACATTCCTATAGGCTCCAAACTTAAGGTGCGAGATGCGCTCCTGGCCATGTCCATGAATCCATATCAGATTGTTGCGCTCTGTGTTGCGGCTCAATTCACCAGCAGTCTACTCCTTCCTCTTGCAATGTTTAATTCTGTTGTTGATCTTCCAACGGCGTTGTCAATCAATTCTTTGGAGGAGAGGCATAACACCTCTACTGAGGGAGCCATTCAAGGATATCACGACATCAGAGACGCGGATGTTGTCACAAAGCTGTGCGCATGCGCTGTTACCTGGCAGTTGATGAAAGGAATCTCACTTTCAAAGTGTCTGGAGGTGGCGCGCATTAACGTTGAGAATGAGGCTCTTTGATGCGACAGGGCGTCAATGGTTGCCGTTGAGACGCTAAAATTATGTTGCCATGAGAGAGAGGGAGAGAGAAGGAAAAGAGGATGGATAGATGAATGTGTTTTCTTGGTGGTTAAGATACATAAATATAAATAACTGTTTCTCACTGAGGAGTTGTGGGAGGGGAGAAGATGGGTGAGTGGATACATGGTGTGTGCTTCTGCAAACATATCTGAGATTCGGTTATTTTCTCTTATTTGCCGCTTTTTTTTTTTTCTTTTTTTGTCTTTTGCGGGGTTGTTGGGGCTTGTTGGACGTTCTCTCGTGGATTCGGTAGCGCAATTAGTTAAAAGTTCTCTCTTAATTTGATTTTGTGTGTAGTCCTTTTTTGTCCTTTTCTTTTTTTTTTGCTCGGGAGCCATCCATTGTTTTGTTGTCCCTATTGTTGGTTTTATTCCGATGCGGAGGTCCGCTGCGCGTGGCAGCGCCGCTGGGGTGGTGGGACCATGTCGCAGTCGTCCCCAGCAGCAGCTGACGGCATCGCCTTCACACGCAACCGTCGTACGGGGAGCACCTGAGTCGTACGGCATGGTAGTTGATAGTCACGAGGTACATGAAGAGATACGTGATCTCTCTAAACGGGTAAAGGGGGTTATTGAGGGAAATTTTCAGAAAAATGCCACTTCAGAAGGCCAAGTTCTTCAGGGCATCCGTCGCTTTGGCCCATCCGCACAATCCAAGAAGATTCTTAACCGGGAGAATGAGGCTGCAATGCTGGCCTTAAAGACAGGCGTCTATGCTGTCTGGCGATGTGATGAGCCCAAATTGTCAGGGGCTAATACGGACTTCTGTGCACGGATTGGGTACCAGCATCGTTGCTTTTGTGGGCATTCACTTGAAGAGCACGCCACGCTGAAACCGTCACGGGGTTGCGTGCCGGCACCCCGATGTCAAGCATGCGCATGTGGCGGTTTTAACTACGTGCCAAACGAACTAGAGGAGATTGGGGAGGGATGGCTGTCGCGAAGACGTAGTTGGGACCCATTAAAGTGGTCCGCCAAGTGTCGTTGCGGCCATGGGCATAAGCAGCATGATCCACAAAAGCGTCACTGTAAGGAGTGCGGTTGTGGTGGGTTTACGAGTCATTTTTTGTGTGTCGTGTGTGACCGCGATGGCGAGAGCCATTCGACGGTTTTTGAGTTGGAGCAGGACCGTCTCAAGAAGGGTTTGCCTGTACGTGAAGCATTTTTCCCCCTGATGGCACTCGACTGGTCTGCGCGGGAATTGGTGTTTGACGACCCAACCGGCGGCGGGGCACTCACAGCCCCGCCTCGCAACCCCGCGCTGGAGACAAACGAAACGTCTTCTTGTGACAAGCGCAATACACTGCAGCAGATCTCACTACCAAAATTGTGCCCCACATCAGAGCCAACGCCGCTGCTGCCACAACACTGCACGGGCTGCGGGGCGATATTTCGTTCTGCGCAAGTGAAGTTCTGTTCCAAGTGTGGAAAACATCGTCAGCAAAATGCACAGTGACGATTTTTTTTTTTTTTTTTTGCATGCATGCATGCGTAAGAATATCTTTTTGTTTTATCACTGGCATCTCGTTCATATATATTTTTATTTACTTGCGGATGTTGGAGAGTACTTTTTCTTTTTCTTTTTTTTTTTTTTTTTATTCTGCGTGAGTGTGCGCGTTTTACTGTTTTGTTTTTCTGCCTTTTTTTCGTTGTTTTTTGCTTTGTTGCTTTGCATGTAAAATAAAAAGACGGATGTCGTTTCTAAAAAAAAAAAAAAAAAGGTGTTCTTTTCAGTGACGATGCGGTGTTATGTGAAAATGGGTGAATGAACCTGCTACTTATGTTCAGCACCATTTATCCAGAAAAAAATTGGAATTGGAGCCGTAAATATCATCGTACACTTCTACGCGGTGCTGCAGGTACATGCGCGCACGTGTTACGTACGAAAGGGATACAAGGAGGAAAAATTGCAAAATATATATATATATGCCTTGGAAGCGGGGGGGGGAATTACGTCTCGGGTTTTATATTGGTCTTTTATTATTGTTATCATTATCATTATTTTGGTGAGCATGAAAATATTTTCCGGCACTGTGAGTGAGAGTGCGCATGTCTATTGGCGTTACAGTTTATGTTTCCTTCTGTTTTTGTCTTCTTCTTTCCTTTATTTATTTGTATTAGTTGTGATATTTCTATCCCGCACACAGACAAGAGAAGGAAAGGGAAAAAAGAGGTTTACAGGAACCTTCGAAGTCAATCAATCAATTCATTCTCACTGTGATTATATTCTTTGGTGTGAGTGTGTTTTGTTTTCCTTCTTTTATACTTCAAATCGTATATATATATATATTTATTTATTTATTTCTCTCTTTGGCATTTGAGGTGTGTATTTTTCAGCTCCGGTGTGTGTCTGACACAAACATCACTACACATACATACGTCGTTAGGCTACACGCACACTCACGCCGAGTGGACATCTAACCGAAGAGAGAGAAAATAAGATATTCATTGAGGAAGAAGTAAAGAAGGAGGATCAAAGGAATACACAGATACAAAGTGTGTTTTAACGGAGTTGGTTTGTGTTTTTATTACCAACAATGTGGCATGGTTCACGTGCTCTCCTTGTAGGCGGGGCCCATCGCACATTGGCGTCGTCTTTCTCCACGCAGGCGGCAGTTGGCGCAACGGCCATGCTTTTCCAGGCACGGTTTGCCAGTGCTAGCACCAACCCATACGCAGTACTTGGCATCAAGCAAGGCGCAACGAAGGAAGAAATCAAAAAGGCTTACCGCGTGCTTGCCCGCAAACACCACCCGGACGCACCGGGCGGCTCACATGAGAAGTTTCAGGAGATTCAGGCGGCCTACGATCAAGTAAAGAGCGGTATTTGGATTAGGCGAGATGCCGATGGAGGCTCCACGGATGCCCGTGGAGGTTCTGATGGTGGCAATCGTTACAGCAATTTCCGTTTTACAACACGTCAGCACAAGAGCAAAGTTAGTTACGACGAGTTTTACGAGGAGATGCACACAGGGAAGGTTAAGAAAAGACCCTTTGAGGATGATGACGATGCAGAAGAGGCGGCATCGAAGGATCCCCGTCGTAACCCATTTGCAGGGAATGAAGCTTTGGTCCAGGCGTGGTTTCGCGTCATTATTCTTTGGTCCGTCGTGTTTGTCTCACTGCGTACGACGCTCTTTTTGACATTCCCACCCAAGTACGAGAGCGTGCGGAGGGCGCCCATGCCGGAACGTCCGAGGAAGCCGCCACCGCCCAAACCGCTCATGAATAATTCATTGGTGGCGTGAGGACATGAACCGAAAACAAGAAAACAAAGCAAAAATAAACTGGTCGAGGAAAATATATATGCTAACAATAAAAAGCCCCCTTCTTTAGCGAAATGAGGGACGTTGGAAAGTTATATTTGTGTGGCCAAAGACCCCCAGAGTGTTCACGGCGTTAACGGAGGCAGGGCAGGGGAAGTGGACATTATGACATGGCCTTTCAATTCACGCAATCAAATATAGCACGTTCTTAATTATTGCTGAGACTTGCAGAACTCCCGAGTTGTACGTTTTCATATTATTTTTTTTTTTATCTCTGGTTCTTCTTTGGTCCCAAAGTATGAAAGCCGCAAAACAGCTGGGCCGCGTTACGCAGTGGGCTATAATATGCTTTTCCTCTCTTTGTGTTTGTCTTTTTCCCGTCGTACGCGTGTGTCATGCTGCTGGCGTGTCTTTTTTTTTTTTCTTTTTTCTGGATGTGAACGTGCCTGTAAGTTTTTTGTGTTTTTTCCTTTTTTTTCTTTTAAGAGAGTTTGCTTTTGCCCTGTTGGCTGCTTGAAATTTGAGGCACGTTGACAGGTGATAGGTTGTCCAGCACTCCGCTCTTCAGTGGGCATTTGTCGTTTTTGTTTTCTCTTTGGAAGAAGACTCTCCGTGCACGGGGCGTGTCAGTGCACAAAACCGTCCGTCGTCAATCGTTATTGCCGCCGTGTGGAGCATAAATCGCCGCTGTTCCAACGCCCCGGCCAGCCGCGAGGTTATCAAAAAGGAATTTGAGATTTTTATTAGCAAAATAGTCGGAAGTGTAGAAACAGAGGCAAACGGCAATAAAAAAAAAAAATGATGGATCGAACACGACTTTTTTTGGCGGCGGAGTTCAAGCAAAAGTCCCGCTGGTCAAGCGTTTGGCCCAACATGCATTACGGTGCCATGTACCTTAGTTACAGCATTGGCCGAAAGCTTCCTATGAAGGGGGTGAATTGGGTCACGCGGGAATCCAACCGTTTGACGAACTTCTCAAACCGATACCAAGCCGTTATTAACGACATTGACGTGAAGAAAACTGAAGAGGAACTTGGCATCACTCTGCAAGATATCCGTTGGAATGATCACCGCCGCATTTACTGGAAATGCTCCTTTTGCGGTTCCTCCTACCGCAAGAGTGTCAGTGTGCGCACGAAGTTTCATGCGGGATGCAACTTTTGTAAGGGTAGGTATCCTTCCGAAGTCTTACGCGAACAGCATCAGAGTTTGTCGCTTGCAGCGTCTGCACCGGAGCTGATAAAACAGTTGAAGGAGACGGATAAAAAGGATAATTTAGGGTCGCTGGCCCTCACGAGCAAATTTCGCGCAGAGTGGAAATGTCAGAGCTGTGGCGGTTCGTACCGCGCGAGCGTACGCAGTCGCACAGGTATGGTGGAGAATGGTCAATGCCCGCTGCATCCAAACATTGTCGACTGGTCGGCGTACTGTCCGTCGTGTTCATGGAGGCCAAATATGGAGGCTATTGCGGAGGAGGTGCAGCGCACCGGCCAGTTCCTTGGATTAGAAGCAGAATCGAGGAAAATTGCGTCGGCACCGCCAGCGCGTATCCCACGCCGCAAGAAGTTGGTCTCCTGAGCCAGTCGTTTTCTTCTTCTCTCCCCTACTTGAGAGGGTACGGATCTTACCACAATTACCGCAGTTATTTGCATATTCCCATTGCTATTGCTCTCTTGGTGTGTTGTGGTGGTCCCATGGCCTTTTTCTCAGCTCATTCTTTGTCCTTTTTTAGAAAGAAGGGACGAATTCCTGTTTTTTTTTTTTTTTTTTTTGCCTTTTTTCCGTTTTTTCTTCTTTTTCTTGTGTGTGTGTTTTCTTTTGAGTTGCATTTCAAATTTGGCTTGCCAAAACCAAAGGCTGTTCATTGAAGAGACAGTTTGTGACGATGTCAAGCCGATTTTTTCAGAAGTACTTTCTGCGATGTGGTCACTGCCAGTCCATTCAACGGCACGCAAAAGGATACAGGCCGATTCCGAATCCCATCCTCTTTGACGCGGATGCGCATTGCCGTAGTTACCACCGTGAGCAGCGCGAGTGCACCGGGATGTCAGGGTATGTCGTGACGTGCCGTTGCGAGAAATGCCACCGCATCCATTCATCGTGGGAGGTAGTAGACTTTCAGGAGTTTCTTGACGCGAAGGGCTCGATGAGCCCCGAGAAACGGAAGGCACTCCTGTGGCCCCCAGCAGGAACTCCCTCCGCGACAAAAATGTTGAAGTAGGCGTGCCGATGAAAACGATGGGCGGGTACTTAATGCGTCTTCTCGGTATATCGCTGTTGTTGTGGTTGTATTTTTTGTTGTCGTTTTTTGTGGCACTATTTTTTTTTTTTTTTTTTCTCTCTTTTTTGTACTTCTTTTTTTGGGAGGAGGTGGTTTGCTTTTTTTTTTTTTTTGTGTAGCTGTTTTCTGTTTCACTTCTCTATCATCATTCTTGTTTCTTCTCCCCCCTCTTATTGCTGCCCCCGTCACAACGTGTGGAGAAACAAGGGTATAAGATGACCGTCGGAAATGAACGGCAGCAACGTGTTGCTGCGAGTTTTGCCCGCCAGTATTACACACTGATGGTGCAGATGCCGGAAAGATTGCCTTCCTTCTACACCCAAAATGCGTCCTTTAATCACATGGGACACAAGGCAACTGACATCATGGAGATCGAAGATGCCGTATCGAAGCTGTATCCCATGCAGGCTGACGCATCGGTGAAGATTCAAAGTTTGACCACGCAAACAGATGGGGACGGGCACATTCATGTGATGATCAAAGGCTCAATCACAACTCCACCAGGCATGAGCCAGGAATTTATCCATTTGGTGGAACTCATGGAGCATGAGTCGCATCCGGGCAGCTTTGGGATAGTTTCTGACAAGCGCGAAAACACTTTCGGCGAAGAGGCGCCGAGAAGGTGGGCCTTGGAAACACCCCCAATGTTTGCGAAGGAACCTGCACATGGCATCATGGAGCAGATTGAACAACCGGTCTCAACGACGGAAATGGCAACAATAGAGAATGCCACAACAAAGAAGGATGTGGAGAAACTGGAGAAGGCGGAGTCACTTGCCTCCGCAAAGGATGCATCTCCAGTTCCTGCTGCTGGTACAACTGTTCCTACGACGAGTCAGTCTCAGGCATCCAAAGATGTAGAGAAGACAACAGACAAGGCGGATCCATCTGTCCCCGCCACAACTACGGAGGTGAAGAAGCCCAAAAGCTTCGCAGAGGCTATCATGATGTCCAAACGTGTTGGACCTTCACAGGGACAAAAGACACTGCTTACGGTGCTGGCGAAGGAGAGCAGGGAACCAACAGCTTTGACTCCAGCGAAGGAGAAAAAAAAGGCGGTGGCTCGTCCAGTGGAAAAAAACGGCACGAAAACTGTTCCCAAGAACGGTGTGAATAAGAAGACGGCTGGGACACCAGTGCCAGCTAACGATGGAAAGAAGAACGGGAAGGCATTGGCTACAGGCAGCAACAGGAAAAGCAACAACAGCAACGAAGCCAATAATAAACGGAAAGACGCAGATGGTCGTGCATTGAGCCGTTTTGTGGTATTTTACGATATCATTGTAAAGGGTCTTCCCACGGACGCAACAGAACAGACAGTCCGTGATATTGTGGATCCCACCGCGCCAACTAAGCTTATCAAGGTACTTTCACGAACCGATAAAAAAGACCCAAATGTCATGCGCACCTTTGCATTTGTTCAACTGGACCACAACGCCATTAAGGAAGCTGGTGATGACGTCAAGGCGGCAGTAGCCAAGGTTTTGGCAGCTCATAAGGGGAAAAAGAGTGTGGCTGGTCATCGCATTCAGATTGACGAGGTTCGCGAGAAGTATACGGCCGCGCCTAATGATGTGGCAGTGGATGTATCTGCGTGAAAATGTCTTTGTGCGATATGTGAATTTTGAGAGAAAAACGAATAATACACACAAACACATTACACCCAAGAGGAGGGGTAAAACGCTCTTTGTTTTTCACAAAATTACACACAAGTACACATTCACATTGCACCAGGTAAGAAATGGAAGAGCTTCATTTTTGCTGCCTGCAAACATATATATATATATATATGATGTTGTACGTGGCGTGTTTGGGTTTCCTTTTTTTTCCCATTTAGAATCCCATGCTGTTCTTTTTTTCTTTTTTTTTTTTTTTTTTTTTTCCATTTTCTGTTTTGTTGTTGTCATTGTTGTTGGTTTTCTTTCCGTGCAACATATTTGTCCATATCATTTGAATTTTTGTCTGCGGAAAGAACGGTTTCCCTTTTTTTTTTTTTTTTTTTTTTTTTTTTTTTTTTTTTTACCGAGCGCACTTGTCCTACTGTTTTTGTGTGAAGTTGGTGTATTTCTTGAGATGAGACGCCCTCATTGCTACAGAGGGGTGGTCTGATGCCAATGCGGAGGATATGAAGGGAGGGGAGCGAATTGACAAGAAGGGCAATCTGTCTGCCTGCGTAGGGTAGAGCGGGGGGAATATATATATATATATATGTGTCTTTGAGACTATTTAGGCGTAAAACCAAATGTATTATTTAATCATAATAATCATAATTTATAAAAGGAAACGACGGCTATGTTATAAATACATGTAAGGGGGGGAAAAAAAAGTTAAATTGTGTGAGGAAGAGGCGGATATTTGCGGCAATGTTTGAGGAAATTAGAGCGTATCCGCTGGCAGTGCTTCAAAGACATTTCAACCTCTTTTCTACGCCTTTTTTTTTTTCTCTTTTTCCCTCAATCTGTGTTTTTGGAGGGGAGGAGGCCCACCGTTGGCAACGATATAATACATATTTATGTCTCTGCGTCTGCGTCTGCGTCTGTGTGTGTGTGTGTGTGTGTGTGTGTGTGTGTGTGTGTGTGTGTCATGCGCCCCCCTCTCACTCTTTACGAATGTGTGGATGATGAGACAGTGCGGAAGAAAAAAAAAAAAAAAAAAAGAGAAGCGAAAGGATCGGTAAAAATAACAATAGAAACGTCGATAAGGAAAAGGAAGGAAAAAACAAAAGAAAAGAAAACGGGCAAATTCCGTAAGGAACAGAAAAAAAATAATAATAATAATAATGATAATAATGAAACGAAAAATAAAAATAAAAAGAGGGGGATTATTAACGAGAGTTGGGAAGGAAACGGGGAAGAGGAGAGGAGCAATGAAAGAAAATGTGGTGTTCTACGGGACTTCTTCTTTTGTTGTTGTCGTTGTTCTTCTTATCTCTGCGGACGTGCGACTGGTGATGTGAAGGCCAGAGAAAAGATGGATAGATGACACGCGAAGGTGCAGAGGCGCACGTGGCAGAGAGAGTGGGTGGGGGAATTTTCAGATTTGAGGGGATGATGGAGTAAATTAGGAGCCTGCCCGGTGAGTGTTAGAGTTGGTGCTGGTTTATTTTGTTATTATTATTATTTATTTTTTTATTTTTTATTTATGGTCCCTTTCATTTCTTTTCTGTTAGCTTCCCCTCTGCTGTTTATTCCCGTCTCTTCACGCAGTTGAGGATACTGGCGGGTGTTACTTTTCGGTATATATTTGTTTTTCAATCTTCTTTTCCCCCTTCATTCAGTGAAAGGAGGACGCAAGTGGGGATGAGTGAAGGAGTGGGGACAAACCAGACACACACGAAAACGTAGTGTGGGGCCTGTGTTGGGAAACGGGGCGCGGGCACTGTTATTATTATCATCATTATCATAATAAAACTCATTATGACTGTAATTGTTGTTGTTGTTGTTGTTGTTGTTTCTAATCAGAGCGCTCTAAGAGCAGGGCACCATGCATAAAGGGGGGAAAAACGAGGAGCTGGAAAGAGTGTGCAAGTATGCATACATGTGTACGTGTATTTGCATGTTTGTGCGTGTGTGCGTGTTTCCGTGTGCAGGAATTCAGTAAGGTGGAAGACGCAGGCAAAAAAGGGGGCGGGGAGGGCGGCACACACCCGCAACACTGAGAAAGAAGAAGGGTTTTTAAGAAAAATTAAATTAAAAATCAATGGAAAGACGTAAAGGACTCTTTAGAAAAAAAAAAAGAAAAAAAAAAGAAAGGATGCATCTCAAGTATAAATGACTATTTTGTGCCTCCCCCGAAGGATGTGTCTGAGCTGGAGCATTGCGGTTGGCAAACAAACCCACCTGTTTAACCCTTGTTTTTTTGTTGTTGTTTTTTGTGCGTGTGTGTGTCTGTTTTTTCCCGTCTTTATTCATTTTTGTATTCTTGCATTTATGAACTGCAGCAATTGAACTATTTTATTTTATTTTATTTTTTTCTTTTTCTTTTTATTTTTTTATTTGTGTGTGGTTAGGAGGGCTCTGGAGGTTACATCTATACACTTACGTATATCCCGGGGAAGTCTGCGGGGCAAATACTGGGCCTTCATGCGTGAATGCTGCATTCCTCCCGGAGGCTTTTTTTAGTGGCGTTTCTTCCACGCGTGGTCATCCTCGGCGTGACGGGTGGCATCGGAAGCGGAAAGTCCGTGCGATGCAGTCACTTGCTGAGGTTGGCGCAGTCACGTGCACGGCAGCCCATATATTCTTTTACGGCTCACACCATCAGTGCCGACAAAATAGGCCATGATATTTATTCTCCAGGAAAGCCGTGCTACTACGATGTGATTGACGCATTCGGAAAAGGAATTCTGCAGGATACGAAGTCGGAGGAGATGTCAGGCACTTCACATTCCTCCCACAGCGAGCCATTCATTGACCGAAAGAAACTCGGCGGTTGCGTGTTCTCAGAGCCACATTCAAGAGAATTACGGAAACTCGACAATATGTGTTGGCCGCACATCCATGAGGCAGTTGAAAAGGAAATTGAATTGATGTCGAGGGATGCAATTTCCAAAAACAAATCTGTACTTTTAATTATACTGGAAGCCGCACTTCTCACGGAAAGCAGTCTGCTTTCACTCTGTGACGATGTGTGGATCATGACTTGTGCCAAGGGCGTTGCGGTACGGCGTGTGATGGATCGTAATGACTTGACGGAGGCGCAGGCGGAGGCCCGCGTTGAAAGTCAGGGTAGTGTCGAAAAGAAATTGGATTTTCTCAAGAACATAAAGTTCAAGGGTGAGGTGTTGGTATTTGACACGACGAACGATTCCTTGGAGGAGGGATTAAAACGCGTCACAATCGCCTTTGACGAGTACTGGTGTCGGAAGTTGGAGCCGTTGCAGAAGGACCCGGATGAGGAAAGCAGCCCGTGGTAGCCCAGCTGGAGCGGACAGATCATGTAGTGAAGGATAAGAGATGCATGGCTTTAATGCAAATAACGCGAGTAAAATAGTGACGAATTTCATTATCATTATTTTATTTTTATTATTGTTTTTCAAATATGAAAAAATGAAAAATAAAAAATAAATAAGGAGGCTTCAAAGCAAATATTCGTGCTATCTATCTATGTAGATTGATTGATATATGCACAGTTTGTATTTCTATCTTTTTCAGCTTTTAGCTATGGTGTCTGTTAAGCAAAAACAGTAGCGAAAACTGTTACATTTCTCAAGTTGTTTTTTTTTTTTTTTTTTTTTTTGTGTGTGTGGTTTCCTTTTGTGCGTTGTGTGAGATGATATATATATATATATATATATTGTTATTATTTTGTCTGAGAGCGACTGTGTGTGTTTGTGTGTGTGTGTGTGGGCATTCATTGCCGCGCGTAGTTTACAAAACTCCCATTACCCCCCTTTGATATATATATATATATATATTTTGTTGTTGTTGTTTTTCTGGTGGAGACGTTTGTCTTTCGTACGAATGGAGCTGTTGGGGGCGCGGTTTTTTTTTTTTTTATTATTATTTTGTTGTTGTTGTTGTTGTTGGGGGAGGTGGGTCTCTGCTGTTTTTTGTTTGTATGATTATATATTGTTTATGTTTGTCCTTTTCTCTCTCACATGCAGCGAGGAGGCGGTACGGTCACCAACGGCAAAAGAGGGTGCGTAGAAACACAAACAAATACCAAAGCATTCGTCCATACAAGAAACCAGAACGGTGGGGAGGTGGGGGGGAGGGGAAAAAGGGGAAGGGGCGTCATTCATCTGCTCCGCCAATATGTCAACGATCGAGGAACTGCGGCTTGCGATAGAAGAGGAGAACAGACAGCACCAGCAGACGATGGAGATGATACTGCGGCAACGGGAGACGCTGCAAGGTGTTCTTGAGGAACAAAGGCAATCCTTTCAAGAGCTTATTGCACGGGTGACGAAGTTGCGGGTTTTGAAGGCGGAACTTCTTTCGATGAGTTCGGACGCTGCTGTCCAAGAACTTAAATTTGATACGGGAAGCAAAGGGGTGGACGAACTGCTTTACACCATACAGGACAATCTGGAGGGGACGGCGCTGACAGGCGACACACTACTGAACAAATTCTACAAGGCTGCTCAACAGATTCTGAAGACGTGCACTTCCAGTAAGAAATCTGTTTTTTCTAGCGGCAGTTCAGGAATGCGGAGCAGTGACATTGCGTTTGTGACGCGCAACGAAATTCGTGGCACACAACTTTGGGCACAAAAGCACTGCAAGAAATGCTTCACCTGTGATGGGAAGCGATTGAATTTGCAGCCGGGGGAACAGGTGGATGAAAAAAGTGTGGGTCTCGCTCGATTACCGGATCTTAGCAGAATTCCCGGAAAAGATTTTTACAAGTCATCCATTCGGTTTTTGAGAAAAATGTCTGGAGAGCGCACGCTTGAAGTTTTTCGTTTCTCGGCGGTTGTGGCCATGCGAGGTAAAAATGGGATTCGTCTCACAGATTCTTTTGCGACTGCCAAGAGAGTGACAGATGTTATTACGGCGTTGGTTAAAAAGGCATTGGCCACCGCGGAGGAAGAGGCAAAAAAGGCACCATGGAATGAGGAGGCCACAAAGAATTTGTTACTTTCTGGTGCAGTGGAGGTATTTTTACATTCTTTGGATGCAAATATCTCCGTCACGGTGGCCTCGTCAAACGAAACGCATGTGATGGAGGCAAACTGTACCCCCATGAATTTTACAGTTGCGATCTTGGCACCAACTTACATTCCGACTGTCGCAACACTTCTTGAGCTGCTATCTGATGCTGAGCAGCGTGCATACTTTGCGAAGTATATTGTTCAACCCCTGGCGGAGCGGATTGGTAAATTTCTGGACATGATTGACGTTGTTACCTTTTACACCCGTGTGGCAATTAACACCGTGGATGCACTCTTTCGCATGACAAAGGCACAGTGGTTTGCAGACATTCTTGGGAAAGGCTTCCCAAAAAGTGAAAAATCCGTCCCGCAAGAGAAGATGGCGAAGAAGGTGCACGCCGTTTTATTGGCTCTGTCAATATTTGGTACCAGTGTGGAGGTTAATTGCGCGCTCCCACCTCCAGGTGATATAACTGACACCGCTAGCATCAAAAACTTTCTTTTAAATATTGCAGAAAGCTTTCTGAGATTGCTCATTGCACCCAGCCCGTACAGGATTCCGCCAATGAATGATCCAAAGAGCGCTAATTTGATTGTAAGCTTGCTGAGAGCGCCCACCGTTTTTTTGGAAATTCTTAATAGTACCTTTAGTAGTAATCGCCGTCTGCCCTCCACGGCTCGCGTTGGTGTTGTGGATTATCTCGCTTCGCCAAAGGCTAAAATCCGTCATGGCCTGAGGCTCTTTTCAGAGATCATTGTGGATGTATACCGCCCGTACGCCCCGAATACAGGGGTTGTCATTGCGGATGATAATGGCAAGTCTGGGAAGCCAAAGGCCACAGGCTGTACCCCTATTTCAGATATGCCACGTGACATTGTGCGTGCGAATGTAGAAGTGGCAGATTGGGCGGAGTCCCTCATGAAACGGTTGCTGTCGTTTCGAAAAAATTCAACGCTGGAGACAGAGTTGACCCAAGGTGGGAAGGAACTCATACGACGTGTAATGGAGGTGGGCGATGGCACGGTCTTTTCAGCGTTTTTAAAGGACGTGGAGGCGCTGGAGGTGGAAATGGTCAAAATGTTGGATGTGTGCGTGGACGTTTGGTTACCGTTTGGCTCTGGCGCTGTGGATATGGTGGATTGCCCAAGTGAACTCCTGTACGTTCGCCTGGAACGGAGCCGCCATAACTAGTCGAAGAAAAGAAGGAGATGATGTGTATGCGACACAAGGAGGCTTTGGTCGAACTGCGTTTCCTTTTCTTTTTTTTTTTTTTTTTTTTTTTTTTTTTTTCATTTGTCTGATGATTGAGATATATATATATATATTTTCACTTTTTCGTTACTGCGGTGAGTTGCCTGTTTTGATACTCTCTAATAGTGAATGAGGCTTGCCGCTCGCAGATGTGGAAATTGTTATTTCTCTTTCCTTGTCCTGTTGTGCCCTTTTTGTTTGTTTGTTTGTTTGTTTGTTTTCTTTGCTTTGCGGATACATGGAACTGCTTGCGAGCGCGTGTTTCCGTTTCTGTGCGTGAGGGGAGGATCGGAGCGTGGACATGCGAGGCAGCGGTCCCACGGAAGCGAAGGCGGCCACAAAAAAGAAAAGAAAAATATATAAATATATGAAAAATAAATTTAAAAAGCAAAAAAAAAAAGAAAAAAAAAGAGACTAATACAAATGTGAGTTACTGACCTTTTATATATTATAATTATTATTATCTTCCATTCTTCTTCTTCTTTTGCGTCGCACTGTTTGCCATACCAACGATTGTCTCGTCATTGATGTTGCCGCCAGCGGTCTCCGCACACAAATTGGCGATTCGCCTCTTTTTTTTTTTTTTTTTTTTTTCATTTTAATGCTTTTGTTGCTGTTGTCTCTATCTTTTTTTCCTGCACTTACACATGGAATTTGTTTTTTTGCAGGAAACGATAGTGGGGAGTCACTTGAAGTAACGAGAAGGAAAGGAAAGTGCAGGCGGAAAGCCGGATAGAGACATAAATACAGAGAGGGGGAGAGAAAGAGAGAAATAGAGAGAAACGGGACAGAAGGGGAAGAAAATTGCGCGTGTTTCTGTTCCCGTACCTGGACACCAGTCACACACCCCTGTAGAAGCATACACGACGAACTGCCTGTGAACGATAAGGGGTGGAAAGGGGACACAAGGGAAAGGAAGCTCAGCACGGGGGAAACACACCCACGGCAAAGGAGAATAGCAGCAGGGAGAGATTCCGGTAAAGATTAATGTCGCTCAATCTCGCTGAGGCCGCTGATGAGCGCAGCCAAAGGGAGATGGAAAAATATTTAGTGGAGCGTGTGGCTGGTCAGGGAACATTTGGTACGGTGCAGCTTGCTCGTGAAAAGAACACTGGGGTGAATGTAGCGATTAAAAAGGTCATTCAAGATCCGCGATTTAAAAACCGTGAATTGCAGATCATGCAGGACTTGTCACGCCTTCGTCATCCGAATATTGTACTGTTAAAGAATTATTTTTATACGGTTCTAGGAGATCACCGACACAATGACGTGTATCTCAATGTTGTCATGGAGTTTGTACCGGACACGCTGCACCGTGTATGTCGAGCGTATTATCGCCGTCTTGCGAGTCCACCCATGATATTGGTGAAGGTCTTTATGTATCAACTGTTGCGGGGTATTGCGTGCCTCCATCTGCCTGCTGTAAATGTTTGTCACCGTGACATCAAACCGCATAACGTTCTTGTGGATGAGTCTACAGGCGATCTGAAACTGTGTGACTTTGGGAGTGCAAAGAAACTCTCACCATCGGAGCCAAATGTGGCGTACATTTGTTCTCGTTACTACCGTGCCCCGGAACTTATATTTGGAAATCAGTACTATTCCACAGCAGTGGATGTCTGGTCTGTTGGCTGTATTTTTGCGGAGATGTTGTTGGGTGAGCCGATATTTTGCGGTGAGAATACTTCTGGGCAGCTTCGAGAGATTGTAAGAGTCCTTGGGCGTCCCTCAAGGGAAGAATTACACAAGTTAAGCACCAGCAATGTGGAGTTAAATGTACCCACGAATAAATCAACTCCTTGGGAAGACGTCTTTAAGCGCCCACTTCCCGCTGAGGTGTACGATTTATGTGCAAAAATATTTAAATACCTTCCAGAGCAGCGCATAACTCCTCTGGAGGCGATTTGCCATCCATTTTTTGATGAACTTCACGATGCCACGGTGAAGTTGCCGAGCGGCAATGCTTTACCGGCACATTTGTTTACTTTTCTACCGGAGGAAATCAATGAGATGACGGAGGCCCAACGCTCGCAATTGGTTCAGAAGTGAGCAACGGAATACACCGACGGGGGCAAAGAGAAATGACGTGGGGAGAAGGGCGGGTGGACGGAATAATATAGAAATTGGGTGAGTTTAGGTGAGACTCACAAAAAAAAAAAAAAAAAAAAGAAAAGGAAATGTATCAATGGTGCGGTGAATGCAAAAGTTAATGGATTTGGGGGAGGGGGCAGAGTGCGAGCATTGGGAGGAGCAAAGAAAAGGGCATGAGAGAAGAAAAAAAAAAAAAAACCGAAAAGGAAGAGAAATTGATTTCAGAGAAGAAATGAAGCAGAAATAACTGGAGTAAGAAATGGGGAAAAACAAGAAACAAAAAAAAAAACTTCTTAATCTCGGGCAAAAGAAGAAGAAAAAAGCCTTTATGAATGTGTTCAAGATAACATCCTCTCGTGCTGGCCGGATAGGCGAATGAATGGATATATTGTCTTACCGGTGGGCTTGTGGGTGGCTTTCTGCGTCCTGCGACGCGGGTCATGTCCCCGCACGGAAAGTTAACGGAATGTTCTGAAGGCTGATCCAAGTTAGACTGACCAGCCATCGTGATCTGCACGGTTCCTACACAAATGACACTAATGGGTCTGACGTTGCGGGGAAGAACAACGAAAACGACAACAGCAACAAAAAAAAGGTGTTGTTAAATATACATATTTTTTTTTTTGCTTGCCGCTTGTTTTGGAGTAATGAACCCTTTTTTGTTTTATTTTTGTTTTTTGGGGCGCATCGTGAAGGAGACCGTCGTTATGAATGCAGGAGGGAAAGGGATACCGTGTGTTGGCCCGTATCTGGGGAACTTAGCCTAAGGTCAGGGTGCAGTGGTGGATGGAGCCTCAAACAGCAGCACCGTAGCGCCACGTTTTTCGTGTTCTACATGTTGCTGACACGAAAGGAGAATGAAGGGATGCGGGTAAAAATAAAACGAGAATGAAATATATATATATATATTTTTATTGCTTGAATTTTCTTTTTTTTCTTTTGTATTTGGATCAATTTCTTCTGCATTGCAGTTTGCGTTCCACGTTAACGCGAGTGACATATGATGAATGATATATATATACAGAGAGACAGAGAGACAGAGAGAGAAGGAAGGAAGGAAACTGTGGTATTATGTTGTGCTTGTGGTCACTGCTGATGCCGTTTTTTTTTTTTTTTTTTGTGTGTGTGTGTGTGACTGAAGGGTTCTTTTTAACACCCCTCTTGTGTTGTTTAAATATATACACGTATATTTTTATATATATATACGTATATGTGTGTTTCTGTGTGCCTCTCTGCATGCACTCGGTTAGGTTGATGATGCCTTTCTGGGCTGTTGGTAAAAACTACCTTTCTGGGCAAACGAAACCCCCTCTTTTTTTTTTTACTTTTTTTTTTTTGTTTGAACTGTGGTGTTGCACAGGTCGTATCGATTTTTTCTGAGCACCTCCATTTTACTTTCGTATTCCCGGACCTTCTTTTTTTTTTTCTTTTTTTCTTTTGTACGGCTACTTTTTTTTTTTTTTTTTTTTTTTAAATGTACTGAGGATGGAGTTGGACGTGGCCATGGCGGCCGTTAAAAGGAGTCAAAAACTTAGAAGAGTGACGGAAAAAAAAAATATAAATAAATAAATAAGATTGCTTTAACAACTGAAAATAAAAATAAAATAAAAAATGGGGGGAAGGAGCGAAAAAAAAAAAAAAAGGGAGAGCGCCCTTTTAGATATCACCAGCCGTGAGTACAGGTGTGAAAAGTGTGGTTTTTCTTTGCTTTGGTTCACCTGAGGAGTTGGTTGGGGGGAGGAATGAAGAGGGTGAGGGCTGTCTTTCATGTGGGGGAGCAGGCGATGTATATTTATTTTCTGTTTGTTTGTTTGATGTTGTTGTTGTTGTTTTGTCACGTGAACTGACGGGCAATAAAGAAGAATGCTGGTGGTGGTGGTGGTGGGCGCGGGTGTGGCGTGCAGATGTATTGGAGGGAGGTGCCGCAGGGAGGAGGAACTCAGAAGGGAGAGGGCGTGAGGAGGAGGGCGAAGGGCGACACCGCGCAGAAGGGAGCGGAGTGGAGGGGCGAGGGGGAATTCGAAAAGATCACACACAAAAAAGGGTCATGTGTGGAGTCTGTGGGGTGGTGGTGGGGAAATGAAAAGAGGAACAAACCCACCCGCGCACACCCTTTTGCACACACACACACACACAGAGAGAGAGAGAAAGAGAAGGAAAGGGAGGGAAGAAAGAAAAAAAAATAAAAGAAAAGAAACAAAGAAAAAAGACTTATTATTATTTATTTTATTTATTTATTTATTTATTTTTTTTTTTTTTGCTGAGAAAGCCATGAAATAAAAATAAAAAAAAGTTCTCTCAAATACCCACGCGACCCTTCCCTATTCTTGTGATTTCTTTTTACAGAACGGAGCCGTTGAATACTTTTTTTTTTAGCTGTCGGTGGAAACGTTTGTTTTCGCGTCTTTATTTAGTGTACATGTTAGGTGCGAGCAGAACATCTCTCTTTGAGGCCTCTTTCTTTCCTCCAAACGCTTTTTGTTTGGTACCCTTTCAGATGTTTCTTTTGGAATTTTTTTTTTTTTTTTTTTTTTGTAGTGTTTGTGTTCTTCCAACAGAGGGGAACGGTCTGTAGAGGCTCAGATTAATGGGAGTAGGGTTTTTTTTTTTTTCGTTGCTGCTACCAGAAGAGCAGATCTCTTCAAATCATATGTACATTGCACCTATGGTCCATTATTGATGGATGACTTTACCTCATTTTTTCATTACTTTTATTTATTTTTGTTCTGATTTTTCTTTTGTTTTATTTTTGCTCCTTTTCTGTTTTTTTTTTTGTTGTTGTTGTTCGTCCTAGTGTCTCTCTCTCTGCCCCTGTGTGTGTGTGTGTGTGTGCAGTCCGAAGAAAGGTGGGGATGCTGTCTTGTAGAGCAGCGCTGCCGATGGGCTTCTTTGACGTCGCTTTGACGACTCACGTGCGGCATCTCTCCGTGCGCACGGAGGACTTCTTCAGTAAGGAGGCAATCAGCCATGCGAGGCGGGTCAGTTGGGCACCGCACACCACAGAGAAGAAACAGGGCGCATTTGCCAAGCTGGCACGCTCTAATTTCTCTGATCCACTGCCAGCCGGGTTTACACAGGAGCCGTACTACGAGGAAGAAATTGAGGCACACCGCCTTCATCACAGGCCGGATGTGTACATTTACAAGTACAACGTTTCTCCTACCCACATGTCTCTTCGCGAGTAAAAGCCAATCGAAACCCGGTGGTTCCTGTTTTGCAAATATGAAGCTGTGCCTTGGCGACTGTGTGGTTGTTTCTGCAGAAAACACAGAAACAAACATGAAGGGAGGAAAAGGAAGTGAAACATACTTGTGAGTAGATTTGGAAATATATATATGTATATACTTGTCGTTTTTTCAAATTACAGTCTTTTTATCAAATATGATTTTCGGACCACTCGCACTGCTGGCCGTTTTTGTTGTTGTTGCTTTTCTTTTTTGCTCTGCCTTTGTGCGATGTCATCCCGCTCCTCTGCGAGTGCGGAAGGGATCCTGATAAAAAAAAGAAGAAAAGGATATTTCTCATTTGTGCCTATATGCGTTTTCGGCGAGTTCTGGCTCCATTGGCCGCCTCGCCACATCGGTGGAAGACGCAGCGATCACCGCGGGGCGAGGAGACGATGGGTGAGGGCGGGGCCATTGAGCCTGACACATCGGAGGCTTGGGTAAGAAATTACGTAGCGCGGGCTGTCCGTGAGGGCCGACAAACAAAAGAGTCGGCAGAATACTTTGAAAGTATCATGAACGACCAAGTGGAGTTCCGTCAGTACATCCAGGAGGCGCGTCGTCTTTTGAACAATCAAGACCCACGCACGCTTACCAAATACCAGCGGGGACACTTTGCAGAGCGATTATCAAGGCAGATGAGCGGGGTTGCGGCGGAGCGACTGATGCGGGCTCACGCGGAGGAGTCAAATGCACGGCGCCACACTCAAGATGGCACGCCCACGGGTGAGAATTATTGGTTTGAGGCTGGAAACACGCTGGCCTCACCATCCGTTCCAGGGTTTGTGAAGGATGAGGTGATGCGGGAGATGCGTGAGGACCGAAAGAAAACGAGTGCAGCTTTTGAAGAATCAGAGGAGCTGCAGGCGATGGCGGACAAGGACGAGGCATTCGCAGAACACCTGCGGCGACAACGCCAGCACCTGTTCCGCTCTAACGACGATGTGAATTGAAAAAGAAGTAAGGAGTTGGTCCCAGGATACCATGAAGGAGCAAGAAATCTAATTATTAACAATAAAAGAGGCTGAAGAGTGGTGGTAGGCGCCGTCTGCTTTTTATTTATTTTTTTCTCTTTTTTTTTTTTTTTGTTGTTGTTTTGTCTCCTACGAGGGGTAAAGGAGATCTGCACCAGGAAGGGGCGAATCGCGTAAGGAGATTGCAAAAAGAGAAATGAATGTAAGTAGAAGGGAAAAAAGAGTAGAGTCGTTGTATTTAAATGGCTTCTAGGATGTTGTTGCATTGGCGCTATTTGCTTGATATTCGTTCTCTGACTGTGGTGGTCCTTTTTTTCATGCACTCATTTGCCGTGTATGAATGCGCCATGAAGGGGCATCGAGAAAACAGAGAGGACTCGCGTAGAACGGGGAATTCATTGACGGACACAGACGATGACGTACTCATTGTGGGGCCCATTTACTCTATTCGGGTTCACTTTCTTCGCCATTGGCCAACAGGCGGAGAAACTCGGGATTGTGAGGCTGTGGCACGTGCTGTGTCGCCAGCGGACGTGTTAATTTTGGCCTTTCCTGAAGGCATTTCCTTGAACCAAACGGAGGTAGTCAAGCATTTTGTTTTGCTGCAACGCTGGCCATGGATCACGCCGTGGAGCCCGTCACCCGGCATTGGGTTTAATAGTACGCATTCACTACCGGAACGAATTTTATCTTTTGCTGAGAGGGAAAGGAGCCCCGTCCCGGTCATATTTCGTCTCCGTGAAATTTCAGCATTTCTGGGCGCGAAATTGACCGCGCCGTTGGTGTACTCTCGCTCAGGCGCTGACTCCATCGCCGCTTGTTTTCTTCTTGAGAAAGAACCTTCACACATTCCTATTCCCTCTGATGGAACTCCGCAAGAAGAAATAATGGCTGACAAAAACACCTCACACATTCTTGCGATGGCGGCCAACTGGAGTCGCGCACACAACGCCAGCTTCTCACTTTTTATTTCTCCGTGTCGCACGAACCAAGTGCATGTATGGGACAAACGCCATTTTCACTTTATGGAAAATACCACCCTATGGTGGGTGTGCGCTGCGTCCGATACATTCATTGAGCTAAATGTTGCAGCAAAGTTGGTCACTGCTATTTCTGAGGTGTAGCCACTGTGGGGGAGACGCGAAGGAGTAGGCAAAGGGCGCATCGTGACAATGGTATCCGTATGCTTCTTGTTTTCATTTTATTTTTCTTCTTAAGAAACCTTTTTTTTTTTTTTTTTTTTTGAGCGTTAGAGCCTTCTTTGCATACATGGATACAATGATGCATAGGAATTACTCGTGAGGAAGACTTTTTCTTTGTTTTTTTTATTTAATTGTTTGTTTGCCCTGGTGATTTGTTTTTTCCTTTGTTTAAAGGGCACGTCACTTCAAACTCTTAAGGTTTATTTTTTTGATCTCTCTTTAAATTGCTTTTCTTTTCTTTTATCTTTTTTATTCACTTTTTTTTTTTTTTTTTTTTTTTTTTTATGCATGTGTGCATGTTGAGTGAGAGGTACGCTTGCGGAGTAATTCAACGGAAATGATTTATCTACTCATAAACTGGACAAACATTCTTTGGGTCGGCACCCTCGCCGCGGCACTGGTAGGGTTAAAGAATTACAATGAGATGACGGAGAGTGAGCACGAAAAGTTGGTGAAGGCTCTGGACAAAGTCCGAGGCGTTGCTCCCATTCCAATCGTCATCGTTAGTGTATGGCTGATGCTGCGCTGCCTGTATGCGCTGGGTGCCATTTTGTTATTGGAATTAATTCTCGTGGTTAGTGTGGTTTGCTATTCCTTCCGGAAGGAGTCTCGGAGAGCCGTTATGCAGACGCATCAATTGCACTGGCTGTTGCAAAACACGGAGAATTTGAAGTCCATTTTGGGCCAAGATTTACCGGAGTGGTTGAAGTACCCAAATGTGAATCGGGTGCAGTGGATCAATACACTGATCAGCGGTATGTGGAGCTGCATTGCTTCCGCGACCGAGACATCCATTCGTCAGTTTGTGGGGCCACTAATAGAGGCGAATAAACCCTCCTTCATATATGAAATAGCTCTCAAAGAATGTTTTATGGGAACGAATCCTGTTGTTGTTCACGGAATTCAGCACTTTCCGAGCGAGGACAATACCTCCGTGATGGATTTGACGCTTTCGTGGGACAGCGACATGGATGTGAACCTACATATAAAAATGCCAGGACCCGATATGCATATTCATGTACGACGTTTTGAAATGAATATGCAAGTTCGTTTTATACTCTCGCCTCATATTCCACAATGGCCCTGTTTTGGGGCAATTTCTTTTTCCATTATGAAGATATGGGTCTTGAATTTTGATATTGTAGCGGCGGGGATATCACTTGATGTCGTGCCTGCTGTGGGAGAATTTATTGATCAATTTATTCGAAAAACACTTATTGGAATGCTACAACACCCCAAGAGGATCACCATCCCAATGGTACGGGGGTACACCGTAACGGCAAGTCGTGAAGATAGCGCTCTTGGTTCTCTTCGCGTCCGTTTGCTGCGGATAGAGGAATGGCATCAGCGCTATGTATCCAACCGGGAAAAAACTCCATTTTACGTGAAATTAATAATGATTGGCAATGATGAAGAAAAGAAGAAGCGTCTTAAAAGTGCAATTTATAAAGGACTGAGTAGTGAATTGGATGATGTATTCAGCTTTGTTTTATATGACACGAATGGCACATTGCGATTTTGGTTGTATTTTGACGTCCCTGGTACAGATCCGTGTGTTGGGGAGTGTGAAGTTCCTGTTCAAATACTTATGGATAGTAAACAAACGGAGCATTCGTGCCTTCTGGTTAAGTCATCTGTTACGAATTTGGAACCGCGTGCAAAACTAATTATTTTGTCTGAGTTTTTATCTTATACTGGCAGAAGCAGGACGGAATCTACCGCAGCTCCCTCCCACGCGCCGTCACGCTCAGTCTCGGAGGCTTTTATGAGGAAACAAGAAATATGCGAACGCCCCTTGGATCCCCCAAGTGTGCGGTCTACAGCCAATGGAAGCATGCATATGTCAGGATCTGGGAGTGGCACCCTCTTTGTTACCGTGGATCGCTGCACCGGCCTCAAAAACTTGGAGTATGTTGGTGTGTCGGACCCTTATGTACAGTTACGACTGCGGAAGCAAACTAGAGTATCGCCTTACGTGAAATCCAACCTCGATCCCAAGTTTAATTTTGAGGCGGAGCTGGAGGTGTACGATATCCAAACCGATGTGTTGCATATAAAAGTTGTGGACAAGAATGATTTAGGCAAAGATCGTGCGATGGGCACTGTCAATATCATTTTGAATTGCGTTGCAAGGAGCCCGGGGGATCGGATTTCTGGCGAATGGAACCTTGACCCGCAAGGCAAAATCTTTTTGACGATGAGCCTTCTGCGTCATTGAGCTTCTTTGCGTGCCTTTTTTTTATTTTTATTTTTATTTTTTTATTTTTTTTTTCTGTGTGTGCATGGGTATTTTTCCTTGTTTCGTCTTTATGCCTTTTGGCGTAAGCGACGAGCCGGGAATTGGGGGAGGGTAGTGAATGCATGAGGGCCGTGCGGAGACGGGGGTGGCCCTGTGAATGAGAGAGACGGGAAAGATTCTTCTCAGAGAAGAAAAGGAAACGATGACAAAAAGATTCAAAAGGAAAAATAAAAAAGGTGTTTTTCGCTGCTTTTTTTTTTTTTTCTTTTTTTTTTTTCTTTTTTTTTTTTTTTTTGCTGGCCAGCTTTTTTGTTTGTTTGTTTGTTTGCGAGGCATTAAACGATGGTTGAAATATTTCACCAATTTTGCCTCTCTTTTTTTCTTTTGTGTTGCTGTTGTTTTGGGTATGTTTGTAATTTTTTACGTCCGTTTCTTTGATGTGCGCAGCTGTTCTTTGTTTGATGCCTTCTTTCAGGGCAGCACACACGCACACACACGCACAGTGTTCAGCATTAACCCTAAGGGGAGGGCAAATGCAGGAACACACACGCATGTATTATACATATGGGGTGCCTCTATAAATTCACGGCAGCTCTTTAATCATTTGCAAAAGCACACTATTTACCTGTACTAAATTGGTGACTGAATGTTTCGAGGAATTGTACTTCATTTAAATTTATATATTTTTTCCCCCTTTTCCACTTACCGCCTTCTTCATGTGCTCTACCCCCCTTTTTTTCTCTCTCTTCCTCTCTGTGTTTGTGCGTGTGTATTTCACATGTTCTGTTTCCGTTGTGCTAGCCGTTTGGCATCTTTCCCTGCAAAATTCGCATTATTCTTCCTTTCTCTGTTTTTTTCTCCCTTGTGCTGCAGGCTGCTCGTGTAACATTTTCTGCGAAAGCGATGGGGAAAAATCCGCCGAAATGGCTGCCAGGGGAGCGGGTGAAGGAGACAATTCTCCTGCAGCGTAAGTCTGTGGAGCAGCTACGGGCGGATCGTGTCCTGCGGCGCGACAAGTTGCAGGAGCGTCGTGACCGCCACAAGGCAAAGTTGGATGCCAAGCGGAAGAGGAAGCTCGAAACGAAGAAGTTCATCTCCGCGCAGACGATTTTGAAGCACGCACAGCGAAAAGAGCGGCAGGGAAACATCTTCCGCAAAATTGGGGAGAAGGTGCGAGGCAGGCGGCAGCGCATGGCTCCTGGCGAGTACAAAAAGAGTCTCGACGACAGCCGTGTAGTGCTGATTGTGCGGGCACGTGGCAAACAAATCCCCTCGGAGGTATCCGCCGCATTTCGGCACCTGGGGCTTTTGAAGTTGTACGCCGCACGGCTGCTTTGCCTGAACCCACGCACGGACCCTCTTGTGAAACAACTTGCCCCGTTCTGCATCATTGGTCACCCCGAGCCGGTACAATTGGAGGAACTGCTTCGCACGCGTGGAAGTTTGTGGAACGAAGAGACGCAGACAAAGCGATTTATCAGCGGCAATCTTATGCTGGAGCAGGCCCTGGGTCAGTACAACATACTCTGCATCGAAGACCTTTGCGATGCGATTGTGAAGAAGACGGAACACGTGCAAGCAGCCCTGCGACACATAGCGCCATTTGACTTCCACCCACCGCGCCAACTCTTTTTGGAGCGACACCGTTCGGTCCACCAGAAGTTGGAGATGGTTAACCAGGAGTCGTTTGCTGCCTATATGGCACAGCAGCTGAAAGGCGTCGCCAAGCGTGAGAAGAAGCTATCAGCATCTAACAAGCGAAAAGCAGCTAAAAAATCATCTACGTCCTCCTAAGTACAGAAATGGGCAGATACGTTCTATAGCTGGTGTCTGCCTGTGTGTATGAATGAAACAAGCCGAGAATGCAAAGTGAAGAGGAAAAAAATAATGTTGTAGCACGAGGAGAGCAGCGGGAGGAAGTCCAACAGGCGTTTAATAGTGCGTGGCGTGGGAAATAGCCCGCTCTTTCCCCAAACCTCCGTTCGCTCGCCCTCGTAATCTTCTTTTATTTTTGTCCCCTTTCTGATCTGAACACTGAATTCCGTAGCACAACACGTGCACGCAATCAATTTTTTTTTTTTTTCTATTGTTTTCTCTCTTTTTTTTTTTTTTTTTTTTCTTTTTCTTTTTTTTTGCGCTGCACAATTGTTGGGAAGGAACTGAAAAATAACAACAGGAAACGGCCGGGAAAAGGGATCGCCTCCTCTGCATTTGCGGGCGCAAGGGCTTCACCATTTACTGTTGGTCCATTTATTATTATTATTATTTTTTTTTTTTTTGGTGCGTGTCGAGGGGCTTGTTGCCCAGTGACAAAGAAGAAAACAAACGGGAATTAATAAGCCGGTAGGGAAGAGAAGCTAAAAAAAAAGAAAAAAGAAAAAAAGGCTAAGAGAAGAAGAGAAAAGATATAAACCCCCACAGACAAAAAAAAAAAAAAAAAAGGGAATTACAGGCAATATATACAACGGAGGCGCAGGTGAATCCTTTTTTCCCTTTGTTCTTCTTTTGACGCGGAGAGATAGAGGGAAGGACAGAAACGATCTTCAAAAGCACATTTTAATTGATTAAAAAAAAAAAAAAAACAGGGGAATTAATCAAAATCAAAAAACAAAAAGAGTCATAAAGATGTCGCAGGTCCCTCAACAGCGGTTTGGTTGTTACATTGGTAATATTGACCGCAGTGTGACGTTGGAGGTGCTTCGCCAGGTTTTCTCGCAGTGCGGTGTTATCATTGATTGCTCCCTCAATGGAAGAGATGAGGATCCGTACCGTTACGGCTTCATCGACTTTGCTTCTGAGGATGACCGTGCACGTGCGATGAAGTACAATGGATTTACGCTGGCAGGAAGGAAGATTAAGGTGGGGGTTAGTAAAGGCAACGTCGGGCGACCAGAGGGGTTCAACAACACAAGTAGCGGCAACAATAACAACACGCATAGTGGAGGCAACACAAATACCAACAACAACAACCAACAGCCGCAGCAGATGCAACAGCCACAACAGCCACAAATTCCGCCGGTTTCTTTGGCAGCCAGCTTTCTTCCCACTGTAATGCATCAGCAACAACAGAGCGCGCAGCTTCTCATGCAGCTGATTCAGCAGGGCGCTATAGACGTGAATAACTTAACCCCCGAGCAGCAGCAAATACTTATGGCGAGTCTTCTTCCCCAAGCAGCACCACCAGCACCAGGAATACCCGCGATTCCACCAATGGCACCTATGGGATATCCGCCAATGCATCAGGCGTGGGGTGCCCCTCGTGCCGGCGCGGGTGGTGGCGCTGCTGGTATTGGAGGTGTTGGTGTTGGTGTTGTCGGTGGCGGTGGTGGTGGTGGCATGTACGCTGGTGGGGCGCCAATAAACCGAGGAATACCTTACAGTCGTGGTCCAGCAAACCCCATGCCATCCGAGGAGACGGTGAAGCTGCGGGAGGTGCAACGAAAGCAGTTTCTGGATGTGGTGCGGCGTGATGCGGAGAAATATGAGAAGAAGTTGCAGGAAAGGAGCGTGAAGGAGGGGAGGGTGGGGTCTGTTTCCGGCAGTGATGATAGTTCTGAAGATGAAGATGCCGAAAAAAGCCGCCGTACACAAGACAAGAGGAATGAGGATGAGAAAGAGGGCGAAAGGAATACAAGGACGACAAACCGCGATGACAGCAGTAGACACAATCACCACCAAAACAACAACAACGATAAGAACAACAACAGCGATGAACATACGACAGAGGTCGAGAAGAACAATGATACTGATAATAACAGTAATAATGATAATAACGATGACAATAAAGCCGATGATAAAAAGGAACCGGAATGTGAAGAGGGGACGGAGGAGCATAAAGGGTTGGAAGAAGTGAGGGAGGCTGAGTCACAGGAGGGAAAAGACGATCGTGAAGAAATTTAGAAAAAGCTACGAGGGTGCACAATTAAGGCAAAAAAACCGAGAAGAAGAGACACACGCAAAAAAAAGCGACATAGAAAGTGGGTGCTGCGTGCGTGGCTGGAGAGAGTAGCGGAAGACTCTGGCGAAGTGCGAAGAAAGGCTGTTGGGTGGGATGAATTGGGAGGAATGAAATGGAGCACCTGAGAAGAATCAGCAAGATGAAGCAATCAAAAAAAAAAAAAAAAAAACTGAACCTAACTCCCAACTTTCCTCCTCCCAAATACACATACAAACACATAAATACACGCACACAGGCTTTTAAAAAAGGGTGAAGGAGAGAATATTGTCAACACGAGGTGGTTTGTTTTACTGTTTGTACGCTCTGCCGGAGATCAGATCATATATATATATATGCTTTGCGCCAAGAGTGGGTTCATGGATCTTGAAGCGCTGTGTTATTTACGTTTTACCTTTTTTTTTTTTTTTTTTTTTTTTTACTTTGATTTTGCGGACTACTTTGGTCATTGTCCTTTTTGCGTGCATTATATTTACCATCCATGTACGTTTACTTTGCCTTGTTGTTTGAACTTAAATCGGTGGTGTTCACGTTATTTCCATTCTCTTGCTTGATGTCTGACATAAGTTGATAGCGGCCAACGAGAAAACAAAGCTACAAGAAGAAAAAGCAGATAAGGTAACTCATTTTTTTTTTTTTTTTTTTTTTTTTTAATAAAGACCTCAGCACAAGCCGAGTTAAGGGGATGGCACGGGTGGGAGAAGGAGATCCTCGGTGGATAGTGGATGATCGAAAGGATGGACACAATGTCAATGCGTGGCACTGGGAGGAACGTGATCTTTCAGGCGAGTGCCATGAGGAGCTCAAGCGACGTCTAAAAAATTTTACGCTTTTGAAGGAAGACAACATTGAGTTACGCGTTGAAGAATTGAGTGATATCAGCGGTGATGTAACAGTGGCTCAACGAAAGGGAAAGATGATGTGCTATTTTGAGCTCAAGCTAACTTTGAAATGGTCTGCTGGGGGCGATGTTTCCGGGAAACTTACGGTGCCGGAGGTGGATCACGATAACTTCCGCGATGAATACGACATTACTGTCAGTGTTACTGAGAACGACGCGGCGTCGCAAAAGGCAGACGCATTAATGCGGTCCAAAGGACGAGCTGCCGTACGGAATGTCATTACGAATTACTTCAACGGGCTCTTTGAGACGTACCAGATTGGCAAAAACCTCAAGAATGCCTCTTCCTTACCTCCACCAGCCACAAAAAAGGAGACAACCCCTGTTGGTGGTAATGTGAAGAGTGGTGCCACGGCGACAGATTCCAAAGACACGGAAGCGACAAGCTTTTCGTGGAAGATGCGCTGGAGAATTCCTGTTGAAGAGCTTTTTACGGTTCTCATGAATGAAGAGCGCGCATCGGTGTACACGCGGGCTCAGGCGAAGATTGATCCCCGATCTGGTGGAACGTTTGAGTTTCTTGGAGGGGTTATCAGCGGCTTTTTTGTTGAGGTGGTGCCGAATGCTATGATTAAGATGCAGTGGAGGCTCCGTAGCTGGCCAAGCGGTGTACACAGCTCCGTGGTGATGGCACTGAAGAAGGAGGAACCCGGTGTGGTGACACTTGAATTTGCACAGGTTGGTATACCTGAGGGTGAGTTGCAGGTTGTACAGGAAGGATGGAGGGCAAATTTCTTTGATGCCATTAAGATGGTGTTTGGTTATTCCATGGAGTATATTTGATGAAGTTGGCCATTCCATCTTTAAACTCTTTTTTTTTTTCCTTTTTATATCTGTTGTTTTGTCTGTGTGTGTGCGCTTTATTATTACTATTATTCTTATTATTAATATTATTATTATTATTATTATTATTATTGGCGTCTACTACTGAGAGTTAATTATTCTGTGTTCCCTACATCCACCACTGCTTCCACTTTTCTCCTTGACTTTTATTGTATGGTGTCTCTCTCTCTCCCTCTTTCTCCTTTGTTGCCACCGCGCCTCCTTGCTCAGTGGAAATTCCACGGATTTTATTTTTAAAATATTCTTTTCTAATTTTTTTTTTTTTTTTTTTTTTTTTTGTGTGTGTGTGGCCTCGTGCGGTGGTCTCGCGTTGCAAGACCATACTCTTGGCGAGCAACACCGACAGCAAAGCACGACCACAAATTCTTAACCTCCGGCAATAACACTGAGGAACATCTATAAAAATATTCTTATTACAAATGGCAGAATTATTGACACCGAAAATTGTTATTATTGGCGCGGGACCAACCGGCCTGGGGGCAGCGGTTCGTCTCACAGAGCTCGGCTACAAGAACTGGCATCTGTACGAGTGTAACGACACCCCAGGTGGCTTGTCGCGCAGCTTTTTGGACGAAAATGGGTTTACGTGGGACTTGGGGGGACATGTTATATTTTCGCATTATCAATACTTTGATGATGTGATGGATTGGGCAGTGCAGGGTTGGAACGTGCTGCAGCGAGAATCGTGGGTTTGGGTGCGGGGGCGGTGGGTGCCATACCCGTTTCAAAATAATATTCATCGTTTGCCGGAACAGGATAGAAAACGCTGCCTTGATGAGTTGGTTAGGTCACATGCGAGAACATACACAGAACCACCAAATAACTTTGAAGAATCTTTTACAAGGCAGTTCGGGGAAGGGATTGCAGATATTTTTATGAGGCCGTACAATTTTAAGGTGTGGGCTGTACCGCCTTGTCTCATGAGTACGGAGTGGGTTGAGGAACGCGTTGCCCCTGTTGATTTGGAACGTATCCGCCGGAATATTCAAGAGAACCGTGACGATTTGGGATGGGGACCCAATGCGACGTTTCGTTTTCCTCAACGCGGAGGCACTGGAATTATCTACCAAGCTATTAAAGAAAAGCTTCCGTCGGAAAAATTGACGTTCAACTCAGGGTTTCAAGCGATAGCAATTGATGCAGATGCTAAGACGATTACTTTTTCAAATGGGGAGGTCGTGAGTTATGATTACCTTATTTCTACCGTGCCCTTTGACAACCTTTTGCGCATGACTAAAGGTACCGGCTTCAAAGGCTATGACGAGTGGCCGGCTATTGCAGACAAAATGGTTTATAGCTCAACAAATGTCATTGGTATTGGTGTGAAAGGTACTCCACCGCCACATCTGAAAACGGCTTGCTGGCTTTATTTTCCCGAGGATACATCGCCGTTTTACCGTGCGACGGTTTTTTCCAACTATTCGAAGTATAACGTCCCAGAAGGTCATTGGAGCCTAATGCTTGAAGTGAGCGAGAGTAAATACAAGCCTGTAAACCACAGTACTCTCATAGAAGATTGTATTGTTGGCTGCTTGGCATCCAATTTACTCCTTCCCGAGGATTTGCTTGTGAGCAAATGGCACTATCGAATCGAGAAAGGGTATCCCACACCATTTATTGGAAGAAATAATCTACTTGAAAAGGCGCAACCGGAGCTGATGTCTCGTTGTATTTACTCCCGTGGACGCTTTGGGGCCTGGCGTTACGAGGTTGGCAACCAAGACCATTCTTTCATGCAGGGAGTTGAGGCCATCGATCACGTGCTTGGTCTTGCTACGGAAGAGACGACAGTCGCGAACCCAGGAAGAGTAAATGGTACTCGTGCTACCACTCACTTCGGACTACTGCAGAAGGATATGTAAGGATCACTTTTTGGCAAGTTGCTGCAAGTTGGCTGGGATGTTTTTGCTTGCTAATCCTATGTCCTTTTTTTAGGAGCTTGTGAAGAGAATGATCGCGGGAAAGCTGGCTAACTTGATGTCTATTTCCTGATAAAACGAATGCTCTTCTTTATGATACCCTTCCTATCTTATGAATTCTGGAAGGAACGACACTTTGGGGAACCGATAGCGGTAAGAAGAATGTTTTTCTTGTATTTTATCATCCCACTCACCCTCTTTTGATTCCCACCTCGCGACGGTTTATTCTGGCCGGAGATCCCCGATGTCTGCCAATTCCTAAGGAATAAATGTCTCCAATTTGAATAGATCACAACATGTCACGGCAGTGGCCTTCCGAATGTGTATAATTGGAGAACATATCGAGGACGTGGCGAGGCCACTGGCTCTCTATTGCTTTTCTTTTTTCCGTCCTATTTTGTTTATAGAGGTAAGTTTAGGATTGGGCCGGCAGCCCAGGCGGTTATCTTTTTTTAATGCTTTTTGGGTCCCTTTGCTGCTGTTGACTTTATACGCGTTTTAATGGGGCACCCGAATGAAAGGCGAGGCCGAGGAAGTCATGGAATACAAATGGGATTTTTGGATGTGAGCGCGCTCCTGTGACCTTGCGATCGTTTGTATTTTGTTCAAGCAACCATTTGCACACACCGACGAAGAGCATACACCCTTCTAGCAAAAAATGATTAATTTTTTGCTGGGCTTTTTTGGGGTGTTCCTTTGATTTTCGCTTCCTCCTTGATGTGAAGGGGGCGCCCTCCCCGCCGGCCGCGGGCTCTAGTGCTTCGCCTGCCGTTCCTCGTGTGCGAGTGCGCTGGCATGTGACTTACTGTTATTGTCGCTGCGGAAACGCATAGGAAGAGACGCGCAGGAATATATTGTTGGAGGCCCGCGGCTCCGCTATTCCCCTGCTGGCGTCGGTGCTGCGTGTGGCTGCTGCCTCCTTTTGTCCCTGGCAATGCTGTGACGCCAGTGTCCGGCACCCTGCGCTGTCGGGGAGGCCAGGAGCCAGCAATATTTCCTTCGTGGGGTTGCCGTTGGCGCAGGGCCGTCCGCATCATGTTACTGCTGAGTGGGGGTGTGGAAGTGAAACCCGGTCCCTGTATGCGGGGGGTGCGGTGGAACGCCGCCGGCCTCCCTCTGGCGAAGCGCCTGGCGCGGAGCATGAAGTTCGATGACGAGAAAGTGTTTTTTGCGTGTTGAGTGGGAAGAAGACGCCCCCGCCCTGAAGCCACTAGTTCCAGCCCGCCGGGGTTCCAGCACCACGGGACCGCTCGCACCTGTGGAGGCGGCGGTGTGTTCATTCTCGACCGTGAAGGGTTGCAGGCGGAAGCAGGACCGGCTCTTGTCGCCGGCGTCGGGCTGGCGCGAGCGACCATCCACCCGGAGGCGGGAATGAAGCTGACGGTTTCTCCGGAGCATCTCCCTCCCGCTCCCCAAGGTGTGTGGCGGCCGAGGATTTGGACAGACCGCTCTGCGCGGGCGGACCACAACTAATGAGCGCAGGCGTGAACGCACACAGAGAGGTTTGGGACCGCAAAATTCCATCAGACTCCCGTGGCGATGCCGTTGTGCGGCCACGCCCTAGGAACACATTGCGGGGCGCCAACGCCGGACAGCGCCCACTGCATGATTCTTCTTGATTTTCTGGATCGGGGACGAAGACACACCCGCAGCGGTACCGAATCCTGACCGGGCATCATTGGCACGGAAGATGGCGGATTGGAACAGGCACGGAAGATGGCGGATTGGAAAAAGCACGGCGAGATAGCCAGCACGGGCAGCGTAGGGAAGAACACTGTATCAGGAACACGGAAAGCCACGAAGGCAACAGTCCCGGCATGGGATCACCAGCCGTCCCCATTCTGGACCCCAGGGCTGGCGGAATTGGACCGCGCTACCGCCGCAGTGTCTCACGCATAGCGCGGTCAGCGGCTGGAACTCCGACGCGGAGACGTGCTGCGCGAAGCATCTAAAACCGCCGGCGCGAGCTCCACACCACACCCGAGGCCACGGGCGGCAGGCAGCACGCCGTGTGTACGCCTCGCCCCCGGGCACGCCAGCAATGAGATCAGACGGCACCGCGCTCAGCAAACACCAGAAGGTCGGCCAACTCATCAAGCTGTGGGCGGCGGAAGCAACGCGGCACCCAAAGCACCGCCCTCCGCCACCGACCCTGACGAATGCGAGGGGCCTCGCGCCAAATAACTATGGCATAGCACGACCGCGCCCCACAGCCGTTGCCCTTGGGACCGGCGCCTGGCCGCGACGGAATGCATGGAGAGGCCTGGCGCCATCTAGGCCGTGTGGCGAAGCGTGCCTTCCCCGGCTGTTCGATAGACGTCCAAATGCAGGAACCGTCTCGCGGATCTGGCAGCGGGGGGTTATCATACCATCCTCAACCCGGGGAAAACGGCATTCGACCGCGACTCCGCCGACCCGTCACGCTGGCCAGCTGCCTCGGCCAGCTCATGTAACGCATCCCTGCCGCACGCATCCAAGATGCCATCGAGTCCCCGTCGACTCCGCAGCCATCTGGCTGCAGGCCCGGCGATTTCGCCCTCGACCGATTGCTGCACCTCAGGGCGGCCACGCATCGCAACACCCCAAAGCACCGCACGGCGGCTGTCTTTGTGGACCGCGCCAAGGCTTTCAACACGGCAGACTATGACAAAATCATCTTGCAAACGCGGCGACTGTCGGTTCGCAATCACACCGCGCACTGGTCAGCAGCGTTCCTCAATAATGGAAGTGCTGTGCTTGGGGCCGGCAAACCCACACCCTCCCCAAGACCTCCGCAGGAGGAGCGCCGCGAGGGACAGTGCTAGGCCCCGCCACGTTCATCATCGTCGTGAAGCCCCTTAGCGGCCGTCTTTCGAACGCGTCCCCAAATCCTCCACGGATTCCTTGCTGACGCCTGCGCCCTCATCACACAGCAAAGCGACAGGGGTATGATCGGCCCGTCCTTGCATGAACGCCCGAGCGTCGTGGCAGAGTAGACCAGAGAACGCTTCATGAAAGCAAACACCGGGAAGACGAAGCGAGGCCTCCTTCTCACCGGCGGCGCGGCCCTGCTCCACCTCAAATACGACGGCGCCCCGGTCGCCATGGAGCGCATGCCGGTCCTTCTGGGTGTCAATTCCTGGAATTCCCGTGGAATGAGCGCACACGCGGGCAAACTCCGTGAGGAATCGAAACGGCGCCTGCCCCGACTGACAGCGATTTGGTCCCTTGCGCGGGGAAATCAGAGACACTTTGGGAGCGTTCCGCCTCGCGCTGGCGTGGGGTGGAGGCCGCGCACGGCACCGGGACGGCCCCTCGACGCCCCGCTTTGCGCTGGATTCCGCACATTAAAAGGCGAGCGGAATAGTCGCGCGAACCCCGAAGAGCGGCGGAACGGGGGACGCCGTGTTGGTAGCGCAGCTGCGGCCCCTCCTCGATACAGTGCTGGCGCGCGGCTTCCGGTATGTGTCCCGATGCGAGACACGTGGTGGCGCCTTGCGGCCTGGCGTCCCCATCGTCAGCCACCCGCAGCGCGCCGCCTGAAACCCACACGGCTCCATCATGGACCAGCGCTTCGGAAAGAAGCTTGCTGCCCGCCCGCAGCGCCGAGGAGCGCGCAGGTGCAGCTTTTCTTCGGGCCACCGCGGCGTTCCAAGAATGAGGCTTGTGATGCGAAAGCCCGGAAGGCATCCGAACTGACACGGCCCACAGACACATGTATCGCCGGCGTCGTCGCAACGGTCAAACGTATAATTTGCGCCAGACCGCTCAATTCAGAAGCTTGTCGCACCGCCGTAACCGGCCGGGAACCCACGCGCACGGATTCCGCCCTCGCTCGCGGGGAAGAGGCCGCGCTGGCCCGCCTTTGCGCCGGGGTCCCGCACAAGCACGGATGGCCGCCACGACCACCGCAGCCCGTCACCCCGGGCAAATGCCGTTGCTGCGGCCCGGACGCCCACAGCAGGCACGCAAAGAACCTCGCACGGAAACTTCTCCCGCTGGGCTCTGCCCCGCCACGATCCGGCGCCCGGAAAGCGGCCCGGTGTGCGGAAGGCGTCGCAGCCGCCGCGCTGGTGTCCTGGCGCGAATGGTTAACGCCCGTGGCGTTACGCGGTTCCAGACGCTGTGGAAAGCCAACCTCCTCTGGCAAGCCGAAAACTCCAGGAACCCCATTTAAACCGCCTCCAGCCACTTTGGCGGGGACGAGAGCGAGAGACGGCACAACGATCGCGCCTCCGCCATGGGCTGCACAGCCCAGGCCGAAGCCATTCCCTGCATTCTCCGCTCGGCGCCGTGCGAACAGGAAAGCGGACTCGGTTTTCATCGTCACCACTTCCGCAATCAGGGCTGTCCCCCGACAAGTGGGAAGCGTCCCCGTGAATATGGCGATCTGGCTGTGCCCACCCCGTTCCAATGCATTTCCTGTGGACCCAAGGACCAAACGAAAGCGGGACTACCACCCCAAATGAGAGCCCACGAACGTCCCAAAGCAGAGCCGCAGCAGGCGCCAAAGATCGCAGCACTCCTTCAGCGCCCTTCCTGCGACAAACAGGCGGGGAACACCGGGGGATTGGCCACACACACGCACGGCAAAAGCATCTCGACAGCAAGAAAGGCACGACGCCAAAAATGGAGATAAAATGCCCATGCGCTGCAAAGCTGGAAGCTCGGCGGGAAGAAGACCAAACTCACACAGAGAATTCGCCTCCGCGTCGGAGAGTGCCGCCAAGGCAAAGCGCACCGTGTGCCCAAAAAGGCGCGCACGCATCCATTCATTACCGTCACACCGTCGCCGATTCCACGATGGCAGAGTGTCAGGCCGCCGAGAAGACACAACCCACCCGGCGACGACGCCCCGATGCGATCACCACCGGTGGAATTTTGCCGTCCAACATGCGGTTTTCAGTGTTAAAGCCATGACGGGTTGGCCCGCCGCCGCGCGGCATGCCCCACAGGCGGCGACAGGAAATTGTGGAAGCCGGCCAGTGTGAACTGCGCAAAGAGATAAGTCTGCATCCACTTCGCTGCTTGGATCTGCGATCGATTAAAAAAAAAACATGGAGTGTACGCCGGAGAAGTGAGGAAGACGTGCTTCACGGAAAATTTGGTGCGGTTTCCCCTCGAAGTGGAGAGACCCTGCCCCCAGCAGCGCCCTACGCGGCGAGAAGACACGAAGAGGTCCTCGCAGCTGTGGCTTTAACGTCGATGCCTCTGACACGTATATCCTTTTGTTTTATTATTTATAGATCACTTGTTTTAATGATTTAATGATTTATAACTTTGGTATTTTCTTTGTTGATACTTGGCTGTGACGGATTATCGCGCCGCCGCGCCAGCCCGGGCCGACACGTGACGGGTGTGTGTGTATTTGTGTGCGCCATCCATACTGTTTTTGGGATACGCTTTTGGTGATTGCAGGCCTTTCTTCTCTCTGCCTTGAGTGACGGCGACCGGCGTGACTGGAGGGGCATCCGCATGTTTCTACTTTTTTTTTTGCTTGATTTTTTTTTTTTTTTTTTTTCTAAGAACAAAAAATATAACACCTAGTAAAATAATAATAATAATAATAATAGCAAAAGGGTGTTCTTTGCCTTGCTTTGGTAGACGTACCAAACGCTGAAGCAAATTTCTCAATGCCGGCTCTTTCTTGGTGCGGCAGAAAGTGGCGCACGTCGACAGACGATTTTACCTTTTCCGGTTTCTTCTACTTCGTTTTTTTCTTAGCGAATGCGACACTTGCTCTTAGTCGTTTTCGTTTTGGTGAAGATGCACTTGTGCCTGGGTGTCCGGATGCCTCTCGTACATTTCAGTGGGTTTTTTTAGCGCTGGGTGTAACGGATCTGGTTGGCGCGGTGGCGTTTCTTGTGACCGCGTGGCTAAGCCTTCAGGGGGCTCCATTTCAGGTGTCTAAGCGGCGCTACGTCTCCTTTTTGCTCTTTCTGACGTCCTTTACCATACTGGTAATGCTGGCACTCTCAGCCGTTGTGACAAAGTACGCAGTATATGACAAGGAGGGTCGACATTGCACATCTCCCACACGTCATTTCTTGTATGTCGTTATTGTTTTTAATTTTCTTCTTCCCGTTGTTTACATTATTACGTTTGCGTTTGTATTTGACCCTGAAGGGCGTCACGTATGGAGGGACTCCGTTGAATATGAGTCTCTATGGTACAAGCGTTGCCGTTTACTTTGTTGTTGCTGTCTATATACGAATCGAAACAAAGATGCCTTTGAGGAAATTTCGAAAACGGTTGCTGGTTTGTTTTGCGGCTACGATTTAGTGCCAAGTGATGTCGCTGCAGGTCTGCTTCTTGTGCATAAAAGGCAGAAGCGTGAAAGTCGCCTTAGAGGAATACATGTGCGATACCCATCTGCTGAAGATGAAAGAAATGAACGCATTTCTTTACAAGCGCGAAGATTTTCCCTATTGACCCCTCAACAACGGAATTATCTCGCTGATATTCGAATTTATAGTGTTTTTTACTTGTCGGCATATGGTTGGCCTTTGTATCAGTATATGCATTGTTGTACGGGGTTGATTAGGCTTTGTTGTTTTGATCCATTGATGTGTTGTCGAGAGCATCCAGGTTCCCATAGAGGAACCAAATGCTACTGTGATTTGACCGCACTACTTGCGATCACACGTATCCACGAGGAGGATGTCATTCTTACAAGGTGGGGGAATAGTCCTTTCCGCCCTGTGTTTTTTGTTGTCATTGACCAATCTACAGATGCAGTTGTTGTGACCATCCGAGGAACCATGTCTTTTGCGGACTGCATCACGGATATGGTGGTAAACCCTGTTTTACTAGAGGTGCCAGATGCAGAGCGAGAGGCCAACACAACTCCTGCAGATTACTATGTTCATGGAGGAATGCAGCGAGGCGCCTTATACGTGTTGCAGGAGTTACGTGAATCTGGTGTACTTGACCGTATTCTCCACGAAGATTTCAAGAAACTCAATGTTGTTGTGCTGGGTCATTCCCTTGGCGCGGGGGTTGCTTCTATTTTAAGTATAATGCTTTGGTCTACAGAACCAACTCTGCGCGGTCGATTGCGGTGTATTGCGTATGCCCCACCTGGCGGGTTATTGTCACCTGCATTGGTTGCGTACAGCGAACGCTTCATTGTGGGTTGTCTTGTTGGAAACGACATCGTTCCACGCTTGGCCACTCATACGCTCGCTGATCTTAGGGAATCTATATTGGATGAACTCATGAATACCTCAAGATCCAAGTTTTCTCTTTTCATGAACTGTTTAAGTTCGGATAGAGAGATAGAATCACTGTCATCATCTGTAAGTTTTTCTTCAGAGAGGTTTAATCTTCGTGCCAAGTTTCGCAACAGTCCTTGTACGCCACTTATGGAATCGAAAAAGTTATATCCACCTGCTACACTTGTACACTACTGTAAGGCGGTAGTAAGAGAACCTCAATATTGCTGCTGTTCTGGTAATCGATCTTGTTCTTGTCGTCATGAGGAAGTGTTTGTGCCTGTATTTGCGTCTCCAAAAGATATGCAATATGTAGTGTGTTCCGCCTCAATGCTTAAGGATCATCTTCCAGATCGTCTCTTTGATGTCATTGAAAAAGCAGACGCAAGACTAAATAATGGCGAGCTTGATCGTTTTTTTTCGGAGACAGAAGATGTGGGAGGGAACTGGGGCGACTACGGGGGAATAGCCTGCGAATAATACATCAAATGCTGTCTGACGTGCTCATAAAGAAGAAAAGCTTTTGTTGTTGTTGTTGTACTTGTTGATTTGCTCCCCCCCCATTTATCTATTCTCTATTGAGTCCTAGCATGGGCTTTGTGGTTTTTATTACCAACCTCTCTTTTTCCTTTTTCCCACATTTTAGCACTCTGGCAGAGCATGCGACGAAAATTTGTTCTATCCGGTACCTTCAGGGCACATCCCATTTTTTTTGTATACTTCATTGTTTTTTTTTTTTTTTTTTTTTTTTTGCTGTTACTTCCTTGTCTTTGCTGGTTGCTGGAAATGAAGTCTGTGATTCTGTCTGTCTCCTAACTACCCAAACCTTTTTTTTTTGCTATTTTTTCTTTTCTACTTTTATTGCCGGTAAGTGCGTGCGTTTTTGTTTCTCTGTGTGTGTTTGTGTACGTGTGTGTGTGTTTTTGTGTTGCGAATAAGTGCAAAATCTTGGGGTATCTATGACAGCTGCGGAAGAGGCAGATAGACTTAAGAATAAAGGGAATGAAGCCTTCCAGGAGGGAAAGTGGCATCATGCCATTGAACTGTACACAGAGGCCCTGGCGCTTCACAAGACGCCGGTCATCTTGTGCAACCGGGCCTTTGCATATCTCAAAACGGAACTTGCTGGTGCTGCACTCACCGATGCGGATGAGGCGCTGCGACTGGATCCGGGATATGTGAAGGCGTACTACCGCAAGGCATCAGCGCATCTATATCTTGGGAAGCACAAGGAGGCACTGAAGGATTTTAAAACAGTGGTGCAGCTGATACCTGGCGACAAGGATGCACGTAAGAAGCTGGATTTTTGTGAGAAAGAAGTTCGTCGTATACGCTTTGAGAATGCCATTGACACCCCTGATGCAGAGCCTGTGTCAAAAACGATCAAATTAGGCAGTGTGCACTCTGACTACGATGGTCCTCGTATTGAGGGTGACACTATCACCGTGGAGTTTGTGGATGCCATGAAGGAACGTTTCCGGGTTGAAAAACTTATTGATCGTCGGGATGTAGTTTACATTTTGTTGGAGGTGCTGAAATTGTTTAAAAGCTATCCGAACTTTGTGTCGATTAACGTACCGACAGGTGAGGATATTACCGTATGTGGTGATACACACGGACAATACTACGACCTCCTCAATATATTTAAGCTGAATGGATGCCCATCTCGAACGAATCGCTATCTTTTCAATGGGGATTTTGTGGACCGTGGATCATATTCCTTTGAAAATGTCATGACACTTCTTGCCTACAAGTTGCTTTATCCGGAGCACATGTTTCTTTCTCGCGGTAACCATGAATGTTTGGCAATGAATCGTGTATACGGCTTTGAGGGTGAGGTGACGCAGAAATACAGCAAAGAAGTTTTTCATCTGTTCTCGGAGGTCTTTAATGCTCTACCTACCGGCCACGTGATAAACAACGAAGTCTTTGTTGTGCACGGCGGGCTGTACTCTCGAGATGACGTGACGCTTGATGAACTTCAAAAGCCAAACCGTTTCCGTGAAATTCCAGAGAATGGTCTCATCTGCGAAAGTCTCTGGGCCGATCCGCAGCCAATGCCCGGTCGTACACCGAGCAAACGTGGAGTTGACTGCCCATCATTTGGTCCCGATGTTACGGAGAAGTTCTTGAAGAACAACAACCTGAAGTTAGTGGTACGCTCGCATGAGGTGAGGGAAGAGGGATATGAAGTTGAACACGGTGGAAAGTGCATCACAGTTTTCAGTGCGCCAAACTACTGCGATCAGATGGGGAACAAAGGTGCCTTCATCCGTTTCACTGGTGGAGTTATGAAGCCGAAATTCACAGTTTTTGCTCACGTGACTCATCCAGGCAAGCCGCCAATGCACTACGCCATGGGAATAGGTCTATTATAAATATCTTTCCATCCATTCATTTATCCGTATTATTGTTATTATATATATATATATATAATAAAAGGGTAGGATACGCTTATTAATATTCCTTTTTTATTACTAGATCTCTGCACTTTTGTGGAATGTAACCCACTTTGGCGTCTTTGTTTTTACATTTCCTTGCAAAGGTCTGTGTACGTTTTTTCTTTGTTAATTTCCCTCGGTGGAGGTTTGTAGAAGAAGCTGCCTCTCCGTTGTTTCATTATCCCGTACTATTGTGTTCCTTTTTTTTTTTTTTTTTTGCTTTGGGTGTATGTGTGTTTTCAAATGGAGCCCCTCCCCATTTTTTGTTGCTGCAGTTGCTGTTTTTTTGCTCCTTTTGACAAGGACGGATGAGGCGGCGGAGAGGGAGGGGAAAGGGGAGGGGGGGGGGGAAGCGCTGCTCTTTCTGAGCGGCGATGTTGAGTGAGAAATGAAAACCGCACCTGCACGAAAGGAGGGTTTGAAACTGCCCGAAAGGCCTGCAGTGCGAAGTACGTGAGGAGTAAAGGGGGAAAAAAGAAAAATAGAATTTATGATGAAGATGATGATGGCGGTGGCGGCAGTGTTCATGGCGAAATTGCTGCGTTTTTCGCCTCAGGCACCGTCACAATTGCCAATACCAGCGTTGTGAAATGTTGCTCTTGTTTTTTGTTTTTTTTTTCTTCTTTTTCTTCTTTTCCATTTGTGTTTGTTGTGTTTCAAAGTGCGGGCGAAGGCGGATGGATCGACAAGAGAAACGGAAATTCATATTAAAAGCAACAGAAATATTCACAAAGAAACACGACGAGCACCCGCTATAATGTGCGAGGCGGCGTCTCATTTGGTGCGGCGAGGGGTGGTGTGCCGTAAGAACAGAACCAATAAATGAAAGCTTTAATTCCCACTGTGCAGCTCAAAAGGTCTTCAAATGCATACATGCTTGTGTGTGTTTTTATTCTGCCTTTCTTGTTCTTTTTTTTTTTTTTTTTTTTTTTTTTCTTACTGCTTTGACTCTCCGTGTCCATGCATGCAGCCTTGTGCCTTGTGGCTTCAGGGGACGAGGGGACAAAAATTACAAGATAAACAACATTTATAGCGAAAGATCACACGAAGAGAATAAAGAAAAATGGGCCTACGTTTCCAGAGAGGGACGCTACTTCTTCTTGGGATATTCTTTTTCGTCATGACACTTGACTCGGTAGGGGTCTTTGCTTCCAATTCAAAACCCTCAGAAAAGAGGACGGGGAAACCCGTTGTGTCACGTCAGCAAATGAATGAAAATATTTATCAGGTTGCGCATCATGCATTGTACGTTTTGGTGTACCTTTCTCTTTCTGCCGTATTTGCTGGATTGACCATAGGTATCATGTGCATGGATACTTTGACCATTGACATTATAGCAACTAGTGGTCCCGAGCCTGACCGAACGTACGCCTCTCAGATTTTGCCCCTGCGACGCCAGGGACATCAGACATTATGCACATTGATTTTGTCCAACATGTTGTTAAACGTCCTCGTGGTACAGGAAACGGCCGTGCTCATGGATTATGTTCATGAACTGGAGGGTTTTGGCTCTATAGGATGGGCTGTAAAAGAGAATAATGACGTCACATCTTTTGTCCTGAGTACTGTGCTTATTTTTATTTTTACAGAGATTATTCCCACTTCTATATGTAAATCGAAGCACTCGCTTAGGATTGCCGCGGCCGGATGTGTGCTTGTCCGCATTGCAATGGTTTTGATGTATCCAGTTGCCATTTCCCTTGGATGGTTACTTGATCGCTTTGTGGCTCATGATGCAGGACAGATTTACGACCGCAATGAACTGCGTAAACTTATGATCCTTCATTGTGAGGCACATGGTGACCGCAGCGGCCTTGTCAAGTCGGAGGTGAAGCTTTTGATGGCCGCAATGGAATTCCAGGAGAGGAGGGTACGTGATATTATGACCCCTGTTGATCAGACGACTGTTGTTAGGGCGGAAGAAGTCATCACAGCGGAGGTGATTGAACGCCTGTGGAACTGTGGGCGTTCCCGTATTCCTGTGGAGCAGACACCCCAAAAATATATTGGTGTTCTTCTTGTGAAGGATTTGCTAACATTACCCATGCCTATTGGCGATCGGCCCCCTATAACGATTGGGGAGTTAGTTAAGGCTAAATCTCGAGTTTTTGCGACTGTGGACGCAAACACATTACTACCGACACTTCTTCGATTGTTTCAACAGGTTCAAACGCAAATGTTTCTTGTTTCACGTGAGAAGGGAATTGCTGGAGAAAGTGAGGAAACCGCTCCGCCTTACATACTCCTTCGCACGCCCAATCACCTTGAAGCGGGAAAGAAAATTGTGGGCATTGTTACCCTGGAAGATGTCACAGAGGCATTGATCAAGGAAGAAATATATGATGAATATGACCGCTATGAATTCCCCTCAGATAATCATTTGGATTGCCTCACACATTGTGTACATATTCACAATAAGGAGATACCTATGCCCTTTCCGGAGCCGGCACAGGTGCCTAGGGCAAATTTCTATTCCTATTATGTTCACAACACGGAAAATATCCCTCTTACTGAGGCACAGGTATGGTCTGTCGCCTATTATTTGACGCGAGCCGTGAATGCCTTCTTCTTGTGGCACCCGGGGTACGTCAAAATGCTTTTGGACGAGTGTGGGGATCAGCAACTCATTCCGCCTCAAGTGGGTTTTGGAGATGAAGTGGCCGCGGAAAACACGGGGAGCAGTTCTCAGCGTTATCCGGCGTTAAATTCACCGACCAAATCTGAAAACTTTGACACCGTCCCAACTGTACCAATTATTTCGACAAGCGGAGAAGGGCAAGAATTTTTCTCTCCCACTTTTTTATCCGTGGTGCCGGACGAGTGTTTCGTACTATACCGTGATGGTGTGCAGACTACAGTTTTCACACTTGTGCTTGGTGGCACGGTGCAGGCATTTGTGGGCTCCAGTAAGTTTCCGCTTAAGCGACGCTCCTTTCAATGGTTTGCCGAGGAGGCATTAACTTTGGAGAACTACGTTCCCGATTTTGACGCTTTTGTTTTGTCTCCAACGCGAGTTTACCGTATCCCAAAAGACGTGTATGCACGTTACCTTCGCTACAATGAAATCTACACACACACGTACGATAAAATTGTCATGATGGGCAAAAAAACGACGGATATGACTCAACATGCGTCATCGCATGCATTATCAACTCAGCGAGAGGAAGTCTTTGAAAAGCGCCAGGCCAAGGGCGATGACAGGGAAGGATTATTGAAAACTCAAAAGGAAAGTGGTTTGTATGGTACCTTTGATGAAGGTGGGAAGTGAGTCGTGTTTATTTTGTTTATTATTTAAAATTCGAATAAAACAGAAAACAACAAATAGCCTCTCTGAATTTTTGTTGTTGTTGTTGTTGTTGTTGTTTTGTTTATTTGTTTCTGTGTTTGGTTGTGGATGATTGTTTTCTTTTATTGTTGTTGTTCTTGCATTCTTTTTTTTTTTTTTTTTTTTTTTGTTTGTTTGTTTGTTTGTTTGCTTCTACGTTTACATGTTTTTCTTTATATGTCTGTTCTATTAGGCTCTTCAATGATCAGAGGACAGTTGGGCGTGTGCATTCCATTTTTTTGGCGGTGCGTCTTAGCTGCTGGTGAGGCGGCGGTAGGAAGCCAAGGTACCGTGCGAAGCGAAAAGAACCCAAACGGTTATGCATCATGGCCCTTAGTGTTGCTTCTTATCATATTTTTTATTAATGTTGCGCTTGCTGCCATGTTTGCCGGCCTTACGATTGGTCTCTTTGGGATGAACTTTATTACCCTTGAAATCATTTCTTCTGCAGGCAAGGAGCCAGATAGTGCGTATGCGAGAAAAATTATTCCAATACGACGCTATGGGCATCAACTATTGGCAACCTTGCTTATTGGAAATATGCTAACTATGGTTATTATTTCACAGATGGTGACTGCTATTATTCAATCGACCGAATTTGTTAACTTTATTGTGGCCACGGCTGTTGTATTTGTGTTTTCAGAGATTATACCAATGGCTGTGTGTAACAAGGGACCGTATGCTTTATGGATTGGGGCAAAAAGTGCTACTATTATATCCATTGCTCTTTTTCTTCTTTATCCCGTAGCAAAACCATTGGGCATGTTTCTGGAGTGCATAGTGACGCATGATGAGGGGCTTGTGTACGATCGGAATGAATTGAAAAAACTTATCCGTATTCACTATGAGAAGTATGGACATGAATCGGGGCTCGGGGATGATGAGACGCGCATGATTATCGGTGCCCTTGAAATGCATGAGGCAAATCTTACTTCCATTTTAAAACCACTCGATAGAGCCGTGAAACTACCAGGTAGTATAGCGATCACTCGCAAATTGGTGGAACAGCTGTGGGCCTGCGGTAGATCACGATTGCCCGTGTACTCTAATGACACTTACACATACATTACTGGAATTCTGTTTGTTCGTTCGCTCATTAACATTACATCCGAACAAATGGAAAACGGTATCACTGTACAGGATGTAGTGAATACAAATCCACATGATATTTTTATTGTGCCTGAGACGATGTCATTGAATGAATTGTTAAAGATATTCCTGTCGAGTACATCACAACTTGTTTTTGTGGAAAGGGATTGTAAGTTTGAGACTTTGAATGGCTCGCTTGCTGCGAACTCAAAAATTACAACAAACCCCGTGAGCAGCCACAGCGAAGGAACAGAAAAGGAGCGGCAGACATTGATGGGGACGACACGGGAATTAAAAAATACACGGGTTACAGTTCTCACACCCCAATTAGCTTTGGAGAGAGGCACAGCCTTTTCCATTGTTGGCATTGTAACGCTGGAAGATGTCATTGAGCGTTTTATTAAGTCGGACATCTATGACGAGTATGATCGGACTGAGGTGGTAGAAGAGGAAGAACTAGGAGAGGAATGGGGAGGCGAATTGCAAGGAAAGGAGAGGAATAACGCACAAGAAACAAGGTTGAGTGTCAGGGATCGATGCGGTGAGATGTGGGAAAGTGGTTTGGGCTACTCCCGGACCGAGGGTGCTCCGCGTGCAAATTTTTACTCGTACACTGTAAATGACAGAGAGGCTAATGATGCGATGACAGAAGAGCAAAAATGGACTCTGGCCAACTTTATCATCAATTCTTATCCCGCCTTTGCGACGTGGACCCGTCGGCAGGTAAAGTGTTTTATTGACCGTATTGGTGACTGCGTCGTTCGGTTAGAAGAGGGTGAGCATGAGGGTACTCTATTGTACCAGGCCGGGGAGAGAAGTGATGCGTTTACTCTGTTACTTAGCGGTGGCGTACGTGTTTCTGTCTGTGGTGGGAACTTTTCAACAGAAAAACGAAGTTTTTCGGCTTTTGGAGAGGAAATTTTTCTCCATGAAGGTGGTTTTGTACCGGAGTACACAGCCGTTATCTCACGCACAAGCCGATACCTTCGGTTTACCATAAAACAATTCCTCGAGGAGGAGCAGCGTGTACGGAGTGGAAATGGACTGCGATCGGTGACGGGACTCATCATTGATGACTCGGGTGCGGAGGAAAAGCGATGCATAGATTGTGAGGAACCTTCTTTATTATGACATTCCGACTTTAACATTGGCCGCAGGCATTCCTTTTGATTCCGAAGGCCCACAAAACTGTGTGAATAATTTGGGGTCTCTTGCGTGAGTGAATGCATCTGAATTTATAGCATTACATTATATGTGTATTTATTTATGCTTAATTTGTGCCCATGTGGTGTAGTTTTATTTTGATTCGGTGGTCTTGTTCCTTTTTTTTTTCTTTCTTTTTGGTGTTTTTCCTGGGAAGAAAGAGATGGACACGGAGGACGGCGAGTTTATGGTGTGCGGTAGCGGTGGCACCGTTGAGGACGCGCAGCTTGATGATCTCGTTGGTGTCATCGAGGACTTCATGGCACACTTTGACCCCGATGCCGTTTTTAGGCGATTGCCGCCCTTTTCATCGGTAGCGAGCGATCATGAAAGGCATCGGCTGTACAGGGAGGCGGTGCTGCAAACCGAAGCGGACTTGGACGCTTACGTGCTGGAGCATTGCGGATCTATTGCGTCGCTGAAGGACGCGACAAGTCTCATTTTGGACCGCAGCGATGAGATTGCGGAGGAGGTGCGGGACTTTATCAATGAGGGCTGCTTCAACTACACAACTTTTGTAGAACTTTGGAAGCAAAACAAAAAATGACGGAGGGCGGGGCAAAATAACACACAAGCACAAATGGTTTCTTTCCAAGGACAAAAAAAAAAAAAAAAGAGGAATGCGCAGTGCAGAAATTGGAGGATGGCGGCTTGGCCGTCAACTTCCAGAAGAAATAGGGAAACAGGCCGATTCTTTTTGTTGTTTTTGTTTTCTTGTGTGTATCTGTCTTTATGCTTTCTATTTATTTTAGTGTGCGTTGGAGCAGCCGACAACTGGGGCCGTGATTGAACTGGCACCCGGGGAGGGTTTTTTTTTTGTTTTTTTTTGACTTAACTTATGGTGATTTCTTTACTTGTTTTCGTTTGCCTTTTTTTCTTTTTTTTTTTTTTTTGCGGGATGATTGGACGTCTATGCGTTGTTTCAGAACGCCCGATTAACTTTGCTGGAGAAAAATATGTTATTTAAGGACTTCACGTTTCCGTGGGAACCGTACAGGGCCGCTCGTGACGAGGACGAGTTGCAGGCCGTCTTGAGCTCCACAACCAAAAAGTTTTCGGAGGAAGAGCGGCTTTCTCCCGAATGTCGCTTTGCGGCACGTCGGCTGATGTATGCATGTGTGGGTGATCAAAAACTGCTCAATCTTCTCGACGGTGTTCTTGCGCCCCCACCGTACCGCCTGGAAGATCTGCAGGACCGCCAGATATCGCGAAAAGAAATAGAGGCAGCGATGGATGTCATCCCTCTCGAACTTGATCCACTCATTGTGCTCTTTCCTTTCAACCTGGCGATGAGTATAGGCGCGTACGATGCACACCTGCGAGCTGCTGTTCGTCGTCTCTGTTGGCTTTTTGCGATTCCCTTCAATATTATTGAGGCACAGGAACGGGCACTGATGGATGCTCTCCTGTTATCTCATGATGGTGGTGATGAATCATTTAAAATAAAACAAAATGTGGTGCGGTCCCACAAAAAACGCAAAAAGAGAAGCATCAGTCGAGCAGCTACCGTGGGAGCCTTTGCGGCAGTTGGTGGTGCGGCGCTTGCTATTACAGGAGGTTTGGCCGCCCCGCTGATTGGCCCCGCGATGGGCAGCCTTGCCAGTGCTACCGCCGCAACATTGTTTGCTGTGGAGTCAGTTGGCGAGGCTATACTGGGCGGTACGGCAGTTGCGGCTTTTTTGTCCGGAATGGTTGGCGTAGCAACAGAAGCCGCTGCGCTTATTACTCTTATAACACCAGTCTTGACCGCGACGAATCTTACGGCTATCTTTGGTATTGGTGGGGCGAGTCTTGCAGGATACAAGGCATACCGCCGCACGGCGGAGTCGGATGTTTTTATGATTCGGTCCATAACAGAAATCGAAAATCTTCCTGCGCTTGCGCAAGGCGATGATGTCTTGTTGTCGGTTCTTACGAAGGGCCAGATTGCACAGTGTAGAGATGCTGCCCAAAGGCTTGCCGTGAAGGAAGGAGAACAGGAAGTGGATATGAATTTGCAGGAAATTCTGGAGGAGGCAGGCAAAGGAGGCATCGTGGTCCCAGCTCATACAAGAGCGGTCACCATGTGCAACGTGGCGGCAAAGGGTCATTTTAAACAACGAATGCGCTGTCTTACATTTGCATTACAGTGCTCTTTGAATGGATACCGACTGGAATTAAAAGCCCTGAAGCTGACGGTTGGTAAGTGGGGAATTGTACCACCAAAACTTATCCCGGAAGAAAATTGTGGTATATTTCTCTGTCTGAACCGTTTTGCTCGACCTACGGGTGCCGGGTGTGTTGTGTGCTATCATGTCCGTCCCATAACAAGTCTTTCTTCTCCCACACTGCGGCTATGGGTTTTGGCTGAACTCTCTTTGTTGGGAGATGTGTCGGTTGCGGTTGCTGTCACTAAATGCCATGAGGAATTTCAGCCGAATAAAATGCTTAAAAAGCTTCGTAAGATGAAAATCGAATCTGACGAAACATTTACTTCCCATAACGTGGTTGTAGGGTGTTTTTTCTCGCCGTTGCCGTTTGTGATTTTATCCAATTTGACAGATGGAGGCAACACATTGTCCCAACATCCTTCCAACGCGGTAATCCCAGTGAAGGAGCTAACACAGCGCATCGTGGAGACTATGAAATTGGTGCGTGATCGCCGTCGAATTGGGGTCTCTATTGTGAATAACTCGAAGCATCTCATTCATGTGTTGAAATGTGAAGTGATGAACGGTGTCCAAAGTCATCGAACCTCTAATTTGCCGACGACAATCTCCTCTCGAGAGGCATTATTTGCTGTTTTTACAAACTCAGAACTGAGTTTGAAGGGGGCAGAGGCATTTATTATCATTAAAGTCGTTAACAGTGGAGCCAATGCCGATGCACGTATTATCTGTGAAAGTTGTTATATGAAATTACAATTTGAGGTTAGTGCGTTGAATTCTATCAGTGCCTTTTGTGTGGCTGCACCATCGTTGGGGGAACTTGCGGAGCATCACGTGCATCTTAAAAGTCCTTCTGAGAAGAATTTTAAACCCATTCTCATGCCAGAATCATTTGTTTGGGCAGATATGACAGCCGATACAAAGAAATTTTTGTTGAATTTAAGCATAGAAGACTTTGTTGAACGTGTCGAGCAAATGGAAGTACAAAAGTGCCCTTCTCTTACAATTGCTGTTGGAGGATTTGTTTCAATCTTTGATGAACGAAGGCCTCAGCAGGATCAACAATTGGCCCTCTGGGCAACTCATCTTTCCGGATCTCGTCTGTTTGGTATGACCGAGGGATATGTGGTACATTGGGAAGACAAGAACCAAACCAAATTCGGTCGCACCATTGACGCGGGATTGGCAAAGACTCTTACAAAGAGCTTGGCGAGAAGGCATTTGAAAAGGCGACGAGCGTTGCAAGGAGCCAACTTTTACGAGGGGGTGTTTTTGTTGGGATTCAGGCGCTCGATGCGGTTAAAGGGAGCCTTTCACTTCCCATGTATGCAATATGGTTCACCGGTGCGATTGACAATTCTTTTGCCAAACTTTTGAACCGCGCCGAATACACAGGAAAGGATTTGGCACATGCTCTTTTGGATCCACAAAAAGGTCGTCGTCCTGTGTCTCTTATTGGTTTCAGCTTTGGGTCACGTGTTATTGTGGAATGCCTAAATGAACTGCATCGTGTGGAGGCTTTTGGTATCATTGAAAATGTTTATTTAATGGGGTCGATTGTCAGTTCATCCCGGACTATCTGGGGCAAACTACGAAATGTAGTCTCTGGTCGTCTTGTTAATATTTACTCTCGCGGTGACTGGTTTCTTTGGCTCATGTACAAAGCAAACAAGGCGACACTGAAGCCAATGGCTGGAATTAGCCACATTAATGTTCCTGGAGTGGAGAACCTTGACGTGAGTTATCTTGTTGATAACCATTTTGACTACGCGGAAAAACTGAAGGAAATTATCGACGCTATTCCCGGGCGTCCAAGGCGGCAAATGTATGAAAAATCGTCGGGGAGTCCAGGTGCCGTCGTTGGCCCTGATGATATTTCATTGGTCTCTAAGGGGATGATGTCTTCTATGGAATCGTTTTTGGGAGATTCAAAATGTGCGACGTTGGCGATCACAAACCGCCTTGCATCTGATATAAAAGGCTTCAACACGGAGTTACACTCTCTGGTCCACGTGGTTAACGGCGGGTATTTTGATTTTGAGCCGCCCGATGTAATTGCTTCTTCGCGCTCCGCCGTCTGTGGCATGGTTGCTGACGGGGAAGGCACCGACGGTGAATCCGTAACGGGGATGGTGTCATATGTTGTGTCACTGGACTCGGCATCCGCAGATCTTCTACTCAGTGTATTCTTCCTTTTGCGAGCGTCTGGGAAAAAAGGACTTGTTGTCGCTGCTGATGTGCGTATATTGAGGCGGACGCAAGACACTTTGGAGACCGAATCTGAGCGTCAGCGACGACTGGAGGAATTTTGCCGCAATGAATCAGAAGACCCTAAACGAATTCAAATAAAGTGTGAGAGCTCCGAGCGGGCGCGCCATAAAGGCCCGTTAACGCCTTCTTTTACTGTGGACCTGGATGATGTCTTTGACGATGGTAGTAGAGAAGCCGTGTTCCATGTCACTACCAAATATGAGGACCATGACGACAAGCGCAGTGGGTGCAGAATTGACATTGTGGCTCTTTTGACCCAGTCGTCCAACTTGACGCAGCGCAAGAAGTTTACGGCAGAACTCTTTGATATTATTTACCAAACGGCAGTGGAGCCGAAATCCGCCATTCCGGTGCCATTGAAGGAAATGCGACTTGCAATGAAGGATTTCAACGACAGTTTTGCCCCCAAATTAAAGGGTAGTCGAGGGGGAGCGGCCATCCCTCAGCCCATTGTATTGGCCAACTGCTGTGATTTCCCTTTAATTTATGCGGGTCTTGGCGGTGCAGGGGCTCTTCCTATGGAAAATATGGGTATTGAATGGATCCGCTATCCACCACGTGAGATTCCTCCACATAACTGCGTCCTGACGGTGGTACGGCGATGCTTATCATCATCTTCATCTTCTTTGAATTCGGTGAATGGCGCCGTACTGGATGTCTTTTCTCTTATTTCTGACACGGGTCGATGTGATGTGCAGCTTCTTGGCTCTTCTGCCAGCGGTGATGGGAATGATGCTGCTGGCGGTGGCATTGGGGTCGCATGCCAGTGTGAGGTCGACTCATCAGCGGACGGAACTGGCAGCGCCTCCGTGATGACCACTGAGTTGGAAGACGTATCATTCACACTCGTCTCTATCTCGTGGTCGTCGGAGAAAAACGCTGGGGAGAGTAAACAGTCACAATCGTCGGACGCAGATGCTCTCATGGGCTGGATTGTAATGGACTGATTTTTTTTTTTTTTATTTGGTTTTATATTTTGGAATTCTTTTTTTTTTTTTTTTTGCTGATGTATCTTTTTTTCTTTCTTTTTTACATTTTTATTGTTTTTCTTTCTTTACTGTTTTTTGCTTGCGGCTTTGCGTTGTTTTTTTTTTTTTTTTCTTTTTTTTTTTTTTTTTTGTTTGCGTTTGTTTGTTGTTGTTTTTTTGCTTTGAGTTTTCTTGCTTCTACGGTAAGTACATACATGGGTATACATATATATATATTTATGAAACTGATTCTTCCTGCTGCATTAGTCCTTGCTAGGGCGTTTTTTTCTTCTTTTTTTCTTTTTTTTTTTTTTTTTTTTTTTTGGGAGCTTGTGAAAAGAGTGATCGCGGGAGAGCTGGCTAACTTACTTAATGAATGTACATCCTGATAAATGAAGGCCTTCTTTATGATGCTTTCAACCGTATGAATCTTTTGGGAAGAACGCGACTTTGTAGGGGCAGGGAGCCGATAGGGGCCGTATAATATTTGTTTTTATTTTGCCATTCCACCCACCCCCTTTTGATTCCCACTACGCGGCGGGGTCTTGTGGTTGGAGGACCCCGAAGTCTGCCACTTCGTAAGTAATAAATACTTCAAATCCTAACTGAGGACAAGGGACCATGCTAGTGGTCTACAGAATTCTATATATATTGGATGAAAAGAAAAAATTGAAGCAATTAACTAACGAACCTTTTTTCCTAACTTGTTTGGTTCCATATGTTTTCAGGATCCGGCCAGCTGCCCGGAAGATCATTCTTAATTTTTATTGTTTTTTTTGTTTGCGTTTTTTCTTGTTTGTTTGTTGTTGTTTTTTTGCTTTGAGTTTTCTTGCTTCTACGGTAAGTACATACATGGGTATACATATATATATTTATGAAACTGATTCTTCCTGCTGCATTAGTCCTTGCTAGGGCGTTTTTTTCTTTTTTTTTTTTTTTTTTTTGGTTTTTTTTTTGATCGTTTCCTTCCTTTACTATTCTGCAGTTTAATGGATGGCAGATGCATACCGAATACTGAAAAGCAGTGGCTCCGATACGCTCGCGGGGTTGTGCTCTGACCAAAAGGTGGATTTGAACGATGTGTGGATCCCTCTTCAGTCGTTTTGTTCCGCACGCGGAAGGATGGACACGCCGGTTATTATTTCCCCTGCAACAGCCATTGTGCTCCTGGACCACCCCAGTGGGAAGCTCGTAACACGGCGAGGTGACATCTTGGCTCGCATCCCGCTTCTTTTTTTGGATGAGCGCAATTTGGCCATCCCACCCAGCGCCATACCGGATGGCTGCACCCTCTTTGTCCGGGCAGCCAAAAGCATTTCAAAGAAGCGCATGGTAAAGGGGCTTTCTATTCTTCACCGCCCCATCACGAGGGAGCAGGCCTTTGCTGAGGGCTCTTCATTGGCGCTAGAGGAAGAAACAAAGGTTGTGCAAAAGCAACCGCGGAAGAGCACAGGGAGTGGGGCCGACGCAGTCACCGTGGCGGGAGGCATGGAAGCTGCTTTAGAAAGGCGGAAAAAAACGGCAAAAATCGATGGACTGTTTGAAGAATACCTTCAAAAGGCTCTCGAGGGATTCCGCGACGGTCGTTTGGCCAATGGGGGAGTTATTATGAAGGAGACAATGGCCAATCTCCTTCGCGTGCGTGATGCGGCGCCGCTTCACTTTGTAATGCATGGAAAATCGAAAAAATATATTCATGTCAACGGAATTCCGTGGTTCATTCCGGACTGGCGAGTCATTTACCGCGTTTTTAGACGAGGAGAAACGGTTGAGGAGACCGCCAAAACCACCTACACCGATGCCGCACGTCTCGTTGCTGTCTTTATGATTGACAATGTACTTATCCGACGGGAACCCATCCATGCATGCCTGCAAGAAGGACATCCGATGTGGTCACTGATAGATCCAAATTTGCCTTCTGCAGCCCACAAACTTGCAGAAAAGGGCTACCGTATTGTTCTGTTGGATCACTACCCTTCACTTCATCATGGAAATGAAATTGCGCTTGAGGCGAAACTAAACCCTATTGCGGAACTCTGTCAAAAGTATTTTACGTGCGACGTGACAGTTGTGCTATCAACAATGTCGTACATCAGCGCTGCCTACAGAAGTGACGGGAAGCCTTTTCTTCTTCCATATTCGGGACTTTGGCAGTTTTTTATCACTCAGTTGAATGGAGGGCTCCGCGCCGATGCCGACTCGCTGCTCGTGGGTGAGTCTGTAGAGGGCGTGGATCATAGACGTGAGGATGTGCTGTCTCAGGGACGAAGGGATGCAAAATTTGCGATGAACTGCAGTCTCCGTTACGTGGATAGTGACAGTCTGAAGAAGGAAATACTGCAGTCTTGAAAGCCTCCTCCTTGTATAAGTCTTGTTGACATGAGTGCACCAATTTGTTTTTGTCTCTCCTTTTTGTTGTTGTTGTTGTTGTTGTTGTTGTTGTTGTTGTTGTTCTATTTATTTGCTGCGTCTTTTTTACCTTTTTATCTTTCTTCTTCAATTCTTTTGAACTCTTGGCCTTTGGACTTGCCGATACTTTGCGAGTTTAGGGCTTTTTTTTTATTTTTATTTTTATTTTTCATTGAAGACACATCTAGCAGATACAAATAAGTTACTAAATTTTTGTTTATAGATTTTTTTTAAGCACAGGATTACGCTGGAAGAATAAGAAGAAAAGAAAAAAAAATACTTTGGTGGCGGCACTGTTCATGATCCTCAGCTTTCAGTATTTGCTGCGAAAGCTGATTCTGCCGCTGCTTCTTCTTTCGACTCTCCTCTCAGGGACAGCAGTACGCGTGCGTGCCGTGGAGGTTGTGAAGTTGGGGTCAGACGCCTTTCTTGATGTTTCGGATTATGGAAGTGGGGTTTTGCGTCTTTCACTGAAGCCATTGACGAAGTCGTTTTACGAGGTTAAAGATGTGGTGGTGCGGGAGCCAGAGGCGGGAAATATCGGTTCAACTTGCGAGGGAGTTAGCTGCACCATTAACAGTGGGAAATGTGTCATGAAAACAAGTGTCACCGAGGAGGTTTTCCATGCAAGTTATGAGTGCCATGGGTCGGTGTTGAGTTCCATGGAAGTGCCTTTGAGTTTGTTTGAAGAACCTTCTGTGGCGTTCAAATTCCCCTCCGCTCGGCGTCTCTACGGCATTCCCGAACACGCAACGGATTTGTCATTACACGGGAATGTAACATATGCCATGTACAACAACGATGCCTTTCAGTACGCCATTAACGACCCACAGGCGCTGTATGGAACCATTCCTTTTATTCTGGCTCATTCATCGAAAATTTCTACGGGTGTACTTTTTCTTAACAGCGCAGGGATGCGGGTGGAGGTGCAGGAAGGGGAATTGATTGGATGCCAGTGGACTGTGGAGTGCGGGCTGGTGGATGTGTTCTTCTTTCCCGGACCAACCCCTTCGATGGTGCAGAAGCAACACGCTTCCATCACAGGGAACACCATGCTGCCACCCTACTTTAGTCTTGGGTATCATCAGTGCCGGTGGAACTATCGAAGCACAAATGATTGTCTGAATGTTGACCAAGGGTTTGATCGACATAATCTCCCTTATGATTGCCTATGGCTTGACATTGAGCACACCGATGGTAAGAAGTATTTCACATGGGACAAGCATAACTTCCCCGAGCCAAAGTTGCTTGTTAACGCACTGGCGTCAAAAGGGCGGAAGCTTGTGACTATCAAGGATCCCCACGTGAAGCGAGAAAGTGGCTACTTTGTGCATGAGGAGGCATTGAAAGGCAATCACTATGTGAAGAATGCCGAAGGAACGGATGCTTATGAGGGAAAGTGTTGGCCCGGAGCGAGTTCGTGGATTGATTTTTACAACAAACGAACAAGAGATTGGTATGCAACATTTTTTCACCACGACCGCTACGAGGGTGGAACGCACGATGTGCACTCATGGGTAGATATGAATGAGCCATCCGTATTTGAATTAAAGGACAAGACAATTCACCGCGATGCCAAACACACCAGTGATACCGGCGACTTGTTGGACAACAAATACCTGCATAACATGTATTCCCTGTATAGTCTGATGAGTGTGTATCAAGGGCATATTGAGTCAAGCAAGGGCCTGGATCATGTTAAACGACCTTTTATTCTTACACGAAGTTTCTTCTCTGGAGCCCAACGTTACGCAGCGATGTGGACTGGCGATAATATGGCAAAATGGGACCATCTTCAAAACTCCATTCCAGAGATGTTATCCCTTTCTGTGTCAAACTATGTTTTTTGCGGTGCTGACATTGGGGGTTTTTTCTTTGAGCCCGATGAGGAACTTTTCGTTCGATGGTTTCAGGCCGGCGTATTTTATCCATTCATGCGGGCACATGCTCATTTGGAAACTAAACGTCGTGAACCATGGATGTTTGGTGACATTGCAACCGACCGAATTCGTACTGCGTTGGCGCTTCGTTATTCCCTTTTGCCGTACCTGTACACACAGTTTTTTGTTAGTCACAAGACCGGTTCTACTATTTTGCGTCCTCTTTTTTACGAGTTTCCTCATGATGAAAAGTTATATGATGAACAGTACACCTTTATGTTTGGTCCCTCGCTGCTGGCTTCCCCAGTGCTGCATCAAGGAGCAACGGAAAAGAATGTGACAGTTCCTTCCGGTAGTATCTGGTACTCGTACGCCACAGGTGAGGTGGTGCATCCTGGCGTTTTTCACATGAATGTGGATATGGACTCGATACCATTGTTTATTCGCGGTGGTCATATCGTTCCTGCAAAGTTGCGTATGCGGCGCAACACGTTCAGTGCCCGGCATGATCCTTTTACCCTCTATGTTGCTTTGAATGAACATGGCAATAGCGACGGGGAACTTTTTGTGGATGACGGTGAGTCTTTTAATTATGAATTGGGAGCGTACGTTCGTCGGCAGTTTTCCTTTACAGAAAACCGACTGAGCTGCACGGCTCACCCTGAAACGATGTCACATACTTCTTCTCTGCCTGGTGTACGCAACACTGTGGAACGTATCGTTATTTTCGGTTACAGTGGACGGCTTAAGCGTGTGATTCTTCAAGAGGCGGGGGCAGCGATTGGTGTCGGTCGAGAGGTGGACTATGAAATCCAGGGCGCGACATTGGTGCTGCGCAAGCCGGATGTGCTGATCCGTGATGATTGGACGATTATTTTGGAAATATGAAAATAAGTACATAAATGTGTCTTGACACCCCGAAGAAGATAAGAATGTTTTTTTTTTTTTTTTTTTTTTTCTTTTCCTCTTGCAGAGAAGGGGAATGTTTTTTTCCTTTTCTCCTTTCTCTGTGTGTGTATGTGAGTAGCTGGATGAGAGGGGGGGGGAAGAGGTAACAGGAAGGGAAGTTTATTATGGCCGATTCAGGTGAAAAAATGAAAAAGTCGGGGGAAAAAAGGTAGAAAAATTACTTGTAGCGAGGGACAGAAGAAACGAAGAATAAAAAAAAAAAAACAAGTGTGCCTCTTTTATCCTCTGGAGAAGCTACTAAAAAAAGCAATGAAAACCAGAAAGTTTTTTTTAGGATATTGCATGCTGGCACTCACGCGAGTGCGATGCGAAAGATTTTGTAAGTTTTTTTGTGTGCATGGTTTTTTTTTTTTTTTTTGCTTTTGCTTTTGCTTTTGCTTTTCTTGCCTCTGCCGCTGAGGTTTGATCTTCTTTTTTTTTTTTTTTTCTCCCCGCATTTTTTGTTTTCTTGTGTTATCCACAAACTGGTGGTTTTGGTGGAGGGAAACGTGTGGTTAAAAGCGCAATGCGTCGATGGGGAGGGTGTGGCACCTGTCGTTTGGCGGCAGCAGCTGGACGATGTTTTTGGGATCCGTACGGTCACCAGCCTGAGTCCATGTTCCTTGATCGCAAGGACTTGGAGCAGATGTACCCCACCCGCAAGCCGAAAACGACAGGTGGTGAGTTTGGCTATGAGCGCGGTCCGTACTGGAATGCCATGCTTGTGCCAAACCCCGCTGTACGTTTGCCGCATGAACGTCGTCGCCTAAATCCCAAGCCAGCCAAGCGTGTTACAGTTTTTGGAGCCAGTGGGTATCTGGGGGCGGAGATTGTGCGTGAATTTTGTGAACATCCCGACATTGAGAAGGTTCGTGCTACAACCCGTTACCCCACACTTATTCCTGCCGGATCTGAACTTGATAAGCTTCTCCAAAAATATCCAGAGAAGATTGAACTCCATGAATGTGATGTGACGGACCGCATTCAAGTGAATGTCGCTTCCAACGGTAGTGATACTCTTGTATTTGCTGTGGATTATCACGCAGAGTACGCCAACAATAGTCATCATGATGTATTTTTGACAGGATCCACTAATGTGAGCTGGACAGCACGTAGTGTTCGTGCCGAGCGCGTGATATTTTGTAACGGTCTAGATGCAACATTTGCTTCTGAGTCGAACTACTGTGATTTTCGAGCGCGCGCAGAAGACGCGGTTGGCGCCAACCATCCAGATGCGACAATTATTCGTTTTGGCCCACTTTTTGGGAAAAGATATCGTTATCGTGGGTTGGGTCGCTACGTGTACCCTGCATGCTTCCCTAATTCCTTGGTGCAGCCAACGTGGGTTGTGGACGCGGCACGTGCTGTTGTGCGCTGTTCCATGGCCCATCGAGCTGTACGTTATAAGTTTGACTTGGGTGGTCCTCAAACGCTGAGCCATGTTGAAGCATTTCGTCAGATTGCAGCTCATTTTGACTCTCGCCTTGTTGTTCCCTGTTATCGTGGAATTGGTCGTTTTTTTGGAAAGCTACTCCCATGGGTGGTACCAAACCCCTGGTTTGACGACAACTGGATTGTCACATACGAGCTTGATCAGGTGAACCGCCGTAGTACTCTCTTTGATCGCCTTGCGTCGTGGGAGCGTATCGCATATAAGCCTCATAGTATTTCTGAGGCTTCCGCAATTGAAAGAGGGCAAGTTCCACTTCCTCCTCTTCATGAGTTAGACGTGGCTTACAAGGCCCTTGAAGCAGCGGACAAGGCGGCCTTTGAATTAGAGGAGGAAAATGCGAAGAAGTATGGTATTCATCGCGCCAAGGCCGAGCCGGGCTTCGGTCGTACCGATGGTTTAGAGGCGCTTGCGCAGGAAATTTACCCCGGACAACAGTTCCGCATGCGTCCATTGGAGGGCGCAAAATACCCATCGACTGTGAAGAATCCAGGACCGGTGGCTATTCAATAGGGCGTTTGTATCCCTGTTGTATTCCGTTATGATGTAGGGTAGTTAGGATTAGCGAATTTCAGGGGAACGGTAACAATGGGGCATTTCGTTTTTGGTGTGTTTTATTTTCTATTGAGCCGCCTTGTGGCCGCTTCAAAGAATACTAGAATAAATGTATGTATTTTATTTGTTCTCGCTTTGGAGCAATCTGGTAAATTTTTTATTCTCTGTGCCAAGTTTTTTAAACTCTGCATGCGTGTGTGTATGCAGGGTTTATGCGCGTCGTGTCAGTAGCAGCAGGTCTATCAGGCCATTACTACTAAAACTTATAATAGCAATAGTAGTAGCAGTATTAGTAGTAGTGACTTTTGAAATAGAAGTGGCAATGAAAGCAAAAAAAAAAAAAGAAATATTGCTTTCTTCTTGCTATGTCAGGACCGATACTTATTTATATTGCCCTGTTCTTTTTTTTTTTTTTTTTTTTGGAGGGGGGATCCGTAAGAAGCGGGACATCGTTTCTCTTTCAGTAAAACATTTACTTTTTTTCTCGTGTGTGTACATGTGTTGTTGTTGTTGTTGTTGATTGCAGCGTTCCCTCATTATTTTTTGCAATGGAGGCGTGTTCATCATTGATAATGATATGTTTCTGGTTGTCTCTTCCATTACTTCCTTTTACCGAAAATTACACTTCTTCCTTTTCTCTGTTTTTGTTGTTGTTTCAACTTTTTTGCCCTTTCTGTTTCTTTATATGTAGTTGTTGTTTTTTAGATACATATTTGACGGTTGATCATTAGGGAGTGCCTTTTGCACCACTCACGGATCGTCTGTGCAAGCCGTGTGTGTGTGTGTGTGTGGGATAAGGCGAGGGGAATAGGAATAGTGAAATAATGCTCTCGGCTAGTAGGAGGGGACCGGCATTCAAGCCGCAGCTGCGTGTGTGTTATTTATGCGGTCAGCAGTTTGGTTCGGCCTCCATTGGCATTCATATCCCGCAGTGTTACGCGAAGAAGGTGGCGCAGTGGGAAATAGCCGATCCGGTGACACGTGGCAAACGACCGAAACATCCCGACACCGTGAACTGGCGTGGGGAGGGCGTGAGCATGGATAAACTGAATGACGAGCAGTTTCACGAGTTCACCGCTAACCTCGTGCCTTGTCGCAACTGTGGGCGGAAGTTCCTTCCAGATCGTCTCGTTGTCCACTTGCGTAGCTGCAAAGGTGACAGTAAACGCGGGTCGACATTGAAAACCAGTGGGAAGGATGATGGTAGTAGTTTCAACGGAACTTTGGGTTCTGGTCCATCGTCCACACGAAGAAGCACGCAGTCGGCACTCGGCTCACGCTCTCCGAGGAAAAGCGCCGGCCATTCTCCCTCACTGATGTCTGGAGGTAGGCCACAGTTGCCTATTTGCTACCTGTGTGGCCAGCAATTCGGAAGCAGCTCTATAGCAATTCATATACCTCAATGTTACGGAAAAAAATTGGCCCAATGGGAGGCAGCAGACGTACAGACACGAGGCAAGCCGCCCAAGCATCCGGACACCGTTAACTGGAAAGGTGAGGGGACTCATATGGATGAACATAATGACGCCCAATTTGCTGAGTTCGTAAGCAATTTGGAACCCTGTCCTAATTGCGGAAGGAAATTTCTTGCTGACCGTCTTGTCGTTCATCTCCGTTCATGCAAGCCCGGCTCGAGAGCAAAACCACCACCACGTTCATGTTCGCCATCAACAACGATGCCAGTATCGGCACGCAAATTAGATTTGGGCGCTTCCAGGGTTAGTCAAAATACCGGAGGTGTGGGAAGTCGCGTTGCAAACGGCGGGAACGAGGACCAGGGTGCAGCAGGGGCTCCGGTGTCGGAAGAGGATATTTCCACAAAAGACGCGGGAAAACTCAATCCGAAGTTGAACCGACTAAAAAAAGGCGGCAAAGTGAATCCAGAGGGACGTGCATGCCCTCGTTGTGGCGTTGTAGAATATGATATGTCCGCAAAGTTTTGTCGCGATTGTGGAGCTAGTCTTGTTGCCAAGAACCTTTTTGATCCTTGTGTGCACTGTGGGGAACAAATTCCGGAGGGTTCTAGATTCTGTGGCACATGTGGCGCACCAATCAATGGTGCGGCAGCGAGTGAGCGAAAAGCGGGGGCCGAGAATGTAAACGCCTCGACCATTCGGGTTGTAGTGTGCCCAGCCTGCAAGGCGGTTTGTGATGCTGATGGTAACTTCTGTGACAATTGTGGTGCGGCTCTTGGAGACGAAGAGCCTGCAACTGCAGCTCCATCAACAACGGAAGTTATGTTCTGCAAAAAATGCGGTGAATCTTTTGAGGATCAGACGGCAAGATTCTGTGAGGAATGTGGTGAGATTTTGGAGAAGATCACGGTGAGTTCCAAGGATCAAGGACCGCGTGGACAGGTATCCACATTACCGCCTGAAGGCGTCACGTCGCATGTCCCACTCAAGGAAACTCGTGCACTTCCAGCTCTCACTGCCGCAGGAGGAATGACAGTGGCGGCGGGAATTCCGTCACCAAAGTTACGGGAGGCTAGGAATGAAAGGAAAGTAACCATCACTAATGATGCTCGAGAAGTCCGAAATATGCCAGAAGGTATGAAGGGACCTGGGGCACCAACACTTCCAGTGCTATCTAAAAGTAATACGGCACGTAATATTCCGGAAATTCCTGAAGAAGAAGAAGGAAATGACATAGGAGAAAAAGGAGAATGCAGTAACTGTGGTCGGACGTTTGCTCTGAATGTATTGTCACGACATGAGCGTGTGTGTACCACTCAAAAGAAGCGGAGGGTATTCAACATGCGAGCAATGCGTCTCTCGGGCACAGGTGCGGATCAAGTAGTGAAGTCGGGTAGTAGTGGTGCTTCAGCAGCAGCTGTGGCGCCAGCTCCAAAACGGGACTGGCGAGCGGAAAGTGAGGCGTTTAGACGCTCAATGCGAGACGCACGGCAGGTGGATAAAGTCCTCAAGTCTGGGGGCAACGTAAAAGATCTTCCTCCCCCAACATATAGTGAGAACAGTCACTATACACCCTGTCCACACTGTGGGAGGAAGTTTGCTCCGGACGTGGCGGAGCGGCACATTCCCCGATGTGCCACAACCATAAATAAGCCCAAACCACCCCCAAGGAGGCGATAAGCCTAACAGAAGAATATATGTTTCTGATTGCATACATGGGCCATTGAAAAGGAGGAAGCAAAGTTGTTATATGTATTATTTTGTTTTTATTTTCATTTTCTTTTCTTTTTTTTCCGTTTGTTTTCTTGTGTTGTATGCACTTTTTAAATTGTTTTGCTTTTCTGCATTTATTGCTTTTTGTTCGTTTCAAGCAGTATATATATATATACTTTGCCCACTCCAGTCTTCCAGCACGCATTAACCCCTTGTTTGTTTGTTTGTTTGTTCGTTTGTTTGCGATGTAAATGGCGCAATGAAAGGGATTTATAAGAGACGCCTTTTGACGGACAAATGTTGCGAGTTATCTACACTTTTGACGCGGTGTATAAAAGAAGGAAAAAAGAAACAAAAAAGGGTTTGTTTTTTTTTCAAAACCTCGAAAAGAATTTGGAAGAAAAAAGTGTCTTCTATACACATTTATATACATATATACTTCTCTTCCGCTTTTTTTTTTTTTCTTTTTTTTTTTTTTTTTTGTTGTTGTTGTTGTTGTTTAAAATGTCATTTGTTGGTGTTGGGTCTGAAGTATTTTTTTTTTTATTTTGTTTCTCTCTCTTTCTTTTTCCTTTTATATCCCTTTTGTGTGATTTTAGATTTTTGTGTGTGGAGTTGACGAGTTTTAGATCGAAATGTTTCGACGATGCGAGCGACGGTGCATGAACCGTGGGCATTTGATGCCGACACCGTCAAAGTACTCGGATAGGCCTGGCATGTGGGGCCCAGGGGCGGGTCCGCCGAAAGACACTCTCGCTCGTCGGTCAATGTTTTTTCGCATGCTGGTGATGAATAAAATAGGACGCTTGACGAAGCCATTTCGTACCAATCGTGTTCGATGGATTTGGCGCAAGACGCAGCTGCAATTATGGAAAACTTTTGTGATGTCAATGGTGTTTATGTGTTTGTTACTCTTTGGGAACATATGGCTGTCTTTTGTGTACCATGCCTACACGGTGGGCCCAACAACACCTGTTCTTGAAAGAAAAGTCCGTGAGCACCGAGTTTCAAAACAGATTCTGCAAATGGTGCGAGAGAGAGAAAAGGAAATGGTGAAGGAGGAAGAGTTGGATAGCGCCAAAAAGCTGTTAGAGGCTCAAAAGGCTTCAAAGTGAAGTGTCAAGAAGGAAGTGAAGAAGAGGGACGGTGTGGGGTCAGAGGGAAGGAGAGAGGGAGAGAAATATTGGGGAGGGTGGGAAGAAATATGAAGGGGAATTGGAGGGAGACGATGTCATCCAGTCCGGATGCCTGTTGCGCTTCTATTATGATATCCGGATGGAATTACACGGAAATATCGGTGTTGTATTAAAAAAGAAAGAGGAGAAGAGAAGGGAGTTTACTCTGCCTGACTGGTGCCCCATTTTATTCTCAACTTTTCCCACTCTTTCTTTATCTGTTTTTTTTTTTTTATTGTTGTTTTTGTTGTTGTTTTCTCTTTGCCACTTATCTTGCCGCTGTTCTTTATTTTTTATGCAACATGATTACAGAGACATCATATTCACACTACGCCCAATACACATATCCGTTTGGTGGATGATGGATCCGGCCCACGCAATGATGGATGCGCAGAGTTTGGGTCTGAGGCTCGATGAGGTGCTTCATAAATTTGCTACGCGCGAGGAAGACAATAGTGACAACGTCAGACTTCTTGCAGATATCGCAGGTCTCACGGAAGTTATAGATAAAATGATACCGCCGTCTTTGTCAGCAGTATCAGAAGCAGCGGAAAATGAGGCAATGGTCAGTCTCCCAGTAAAAACACTTGAAGAGTTGCGTTTTCTTGGATGTGCATGTTGGAACATGACGGTGCGACACGTTTCCAGGGAAGATTCCCGGGAAGAGCAGACATTAAAAGCCTCGTTGCGTGAGTTTGCCACTAAGGTGTTTCTTCTCGGCAACTATGCCTACGCATCAAGCGATGTTTCTCACAGCTACTTCACACAGCACCCACGTGAGGCGGAACAATGTGTGCTAATGTGCCTCAAGACTTCGCGAGACTTGTCGCTTTGCGGTGTGGCAGGTAGTGCAAAAAGACTTTTGTCCTTGGGCGAAAGCGTTGCATCGTACATACAAACCGGCGTTCAAAATAGTCTTGCTTACATAAAATATCGTAACATGCGTTGGGAGTTTGCGTACACAGCCATGGATATTAATTGGAATGTGGGCCATTACAAGGAATCCTGTGAGGCGGCAAAGAAACTTACACAGATGTTATTGCAAGATCGTGATTTACGAAGAGATCATAGAGAGGCTTTTTTTCGTTTTGTTTTTACCATTGGCAACGGTGGTGTTTTGACAAGTGATGAACAATATATTCGTGACATGCTTTATAGCTCGATGGAGATGCAGAATCACTTCCAGGGAGCGGGGACAAATGATCCATCGCATCATGTGATGATACTCCGTGGTGCCACGATGGAACAAATGGCTCTTTCATGGCTCCGCGAAGAGGAAGCGACAGAGGCCTTGAGCTGGGCTGTGGAAGCGGACACCACACTTCATTCAAACACCTCCGCGTTGCTGCGCCTTACAGCAACCGCAAAAGCGGGCATGGAACCAGAAGCCATTGTGCTACTCCACCAGTATGTTCAACGATCAGATGTTTCCGTGGATGACGCAGTGGCGGCGTGTTTTGAGCTTCACAATCTTCTCGTGAGCAGAAAAGACGGTTCCATTGAGGGCATGCGTTTGCTTTACAAGAAAACCAAAGGCAATACATGCAGTGAAAGCGTTCTCTTTCGTTTTGTTCAACTTTTACTCCATAATGGGAGTCTTGCCTCATGTAAAGAGGCGCTACAGATTTTACAGAATGAAGGTATAGACTTTGAAGAGACTCGATACCGCCGCTATTGTTTTGTGTGGCTTTGGGAACTGGCGGATATGGCTGGGTTTTCCCCCTTGCAAATTGTGGAATGCCTTGAATCGGCTTTGCAATTTAAAGATTGTGCCAGTGAAGCCGAGGTTGATGCCATATACCTTCGTCTCTGCACAGAATATATCACACAATCCGAGGGTGGGGGACAAACATCTGTCGTGTTAATGAAGGCAAAGAACATTCTTGTGGATTATGCCTCACATCGAAACCCAAAATGCGTCTTTGCTCACAGCTTGCTGATTAAGATTGCGGTTCTAGAGTCCAACGAGGCGGAATTGGAAAAGGAACTTAATTTGCTGTTACTGTGTGAGCCGGCCGAATTGGTAATGCCTGCTCTCTGTACAGCCATTAATTACTCCCTGAGAATTGGTTACCTTCCCGGTGTGTCTCTGGTGATCACTCGAGCCGTGTTTTTCTCAGCTCCCGTGCCTGACCCTTCAACAGAGCTTGAGTTGCTACGGGTGTACGTGGCTTCTTTGCTCAGTAAAGCCTGTAACTGCACAGATGATCACCTGCGTGTGGTTACAGAGCGTTTTCGGAGTTTACTTTCGGACGAATGTGCCACGATATCTTTATCTCATGAGGAAGTGAGTTGGTGGGCGCAGGCATTTCTTGTGCTTGGTTTAGAGTTCACAGTTGGTCCTGGTCCCACTAGTGTTTACTTGTTTCGCGCGGCCACATTCATTGCTCTACAAGATCCCGTCCCCGGTGAAGTTCCATCACGCACATTCCTCATTTCGGGACTTCTATGTACGTTAGAGGATGAGTTTCAACTCTTTTCAACTGGTATTCCGCAAATTGATTCTTGTGAGTTGGAGGAGCATTTGCGTTTGTGTAAAGAATTTGTCTCATCTCTGCCTGAGGTAAATTACCGTCTGACGGTCTTGCTGTCTCAGGCGGAGCGACACCTTCGTCAGCCTTCTTCAGAGACACCAGAGCAAATAGAGAGAATTTTGGATGAATTGTCCAATATAAATGTGACGTTTGAGGACTACGAGGCAATAGCGAACGGAGCATCCTTTATTGCTTTGAAATACGCGTCGGAACATCCTTTTCTTCACGGAGTTACCATAAAACTTTATATGCAAGCTGTGTCAGTGGCAATGAATGACATTTCTGCCTCCATGAAAGATGCTGACAACAACGCCGAAAAATGTTTGGAGTACATTACAGATGCTTTTTCGTGTCTTTATAAATGTTTTACACTTGCTTTTGATCGCACAGAACAATTGGCTGTGGTGCAGCGGCTTATGGAAATACTTTCACTAGCTGTGGAGGACGTGACAGTCGCTTCCCTCATCAAGGATTACCATTCAAATACAGTGCGGACGGTTAATAATCATCCCCTATCTTTCGCGCGGCTGTTTCTTGAATACTTTACAGTGGAAGCATGGAACAATTCTGTGTTTTACCTTCATCTTACCGAGACAGTAAAACAGACACAGTGGGTCCATGTCGCCTGGACGCTAGTGGATACTTTGCCCGAGACAAGTAGCGTTGCCTCGGCTTTGCACGCGTTGAAGGCCATTACATCTGTTTAATTTCCTTCTGATGGGTTTTTTTTGGTGAAAAAGTGATTATAGGGTCATGCTACTTTTTTTTTTTTTTTTTTTTTTTGCCTTCTATTACGTGGGCTTTTCATTTATTTTTATTATTGTTATTATTATTGTTAAATTCGTTTGTTTTTTTTGCGGGTGGGGGCGAAAGTTTTGATTTCTGTCGTGGCAGGCGCTTTTTTTTTTTTTTTTTTTTTTTTTGGGCATTGTGTGGCTGTTGTCTGGTGTCGTTTTAATTCACCGACTACTGCTGGGCTTTCCTTCTTTTTTTTTCGTTTTTGGTTTTTTATGTTTTTTACGCTTGTGGGTGTCGTGAAGGAGATGCTGAATGAAACGTTTCCGCATCAAAAGGAAGAAGAACGAAGTTTTAAGGAGCCCGTGAAGTCATCCGAGCCGGATCAAGCGGAATGTGCGGATGTCGCGTTGGTAGAGGAGCAAAGGCCTCGCCTGGAGCGGATACTGACCCCACGATTTGTTTTGGCCATTTTCACCGCGCTGAACTTCATTATATACTACGATCGTGGAGCCCTCTCGGGCTCTCTGGCAAGCATTAAGGGGGACAAACGTATAGCCGGTGATTCAAAAACCTTAACCGACACGAAGGTTGGATTTATTGTTTCTGGTTTTATGATTGGCTACATGACAACGAGCCCCTTATTTGCGGCGTTTGGTGGAATTGTGCCGTCCAAATGGATTATTGTAGGAGGCATGGTAATTTGGGCTATCGCATGTGTAGGCACGGGCTCGGCTACCACTTATGCAGCTCTCTTAGTATGCAGAATTTTTGTTGGTGTTGGTGAGGCGGCCTTTGTGGGGTTTACAGTTACCACCATTGATCGTATTGCCCCATCGGGTTCGCGCACACTGTGGATAGGTACATTTTATTCCATGATACCTGTGGGAACTGCGGCCGGCATGGTAGTCGGTGGTTCTGTAGGTTCTCTGGGTACAATAGGACCTACGCAAGGGTGGCGTATTGTTTTTTTCACTGAAGTCCTAGCTTCCATACCCATTGTGCTAGCGAATGCTTTTTTACCCTCAATTTATAATTTACGTTCAGACTCAGATGAAACGGAATACTACTCCTTGCACAAGGCAACGTGGATCTTGATAAAGAACCTAAATTACTTATTAATTGTATTTGGATATGCGATGTATTCTTTTGTTCTTGGTGCTTTTGCTGTATGGGGAATTCCCATGCTTATTCAAGGAACAATGCGGCTTTCATACATAAACGCCTCATTGATATTGGGTGGAGTGACCGCACTTACCGGTGTATTGGGCTCTGTTGCAGGGGGTTTTGTCCTTGATAAAATTGGAGGAACCTCCGGTTCTTTGAACTTAATTCGGGGTCAATTGCTTCTTATTCTCTTGATTTTAGTGTCTGTCGCAGTAGGTATTGCGGCACTTTTTTTGGAGAATATTGTTGGCTTCACCTTTTTACTGACTTTATCCGTGTTTGCTCTATTTATGGTGACCGCACCAGTGAATGCGGCAATTATGAACGTGGTGTCACCTGAACTGAAAGCGTATGCAGTAAGTTACTCTGTTTTTCTCATTCACGCACTAGGCGACTTTCCATCCCCGACTTTTGCAGGGTTTCTTTCAGATCACGTTTTCTCGAAAGGTTGTCCGCTGTATAATATCTCTTTGTGCGATCTTGACACCGGCAACCACTGTCGATGGGTAAATAACACAGACGATGCATCTTCTGGCCACTGTGTCAATGAATATCAACTGCGTAACGCGCTTCTGGTTGTTTTTTCTATGATGTTTTTGTCGGTGCCATGTTGGCTTGTCGTGTATTTTCGTTTATGGCGTGCGTACCGGCGTGCAGAATCGCTTTCCGACAGTAGCGGTGTGTCGCTAGTGGGATAAGAAGACATGGCGTTGCGGGGTCACTTGTTTTTGCATTTCCTGGTGGTGGTGGTGGTGATGATGATGTGTCGAAGCGATGATATACGACTAGTCAACGCAAAGGGATAAATGGAAGAAGAAGAAGAACAAAAAAAAAAAAAATAATAATTCTTTTAGAAAATAAAAATGATACATAGATGTATATGGCGCACACACGCGGACACGAGCCGCGGCAATGGTGCGAATAAGGGTTTTTAATTGCGGATGGAAGAACCGAGAGGACAGTAGAATAAGATAAGAAAAAGAGATGAGTGGGAAAAGTGAATTAAAGAAAGGGGAAATTAATATATTGAACGAAGCCACATAAAATGATCAAAAAAAGAAAATTTTTGAACAATATATATATATATATATATATATATAGATCATGTAATGCATATATCTTCTATATGGGATACAAATCCGCTGTATGCTAAAATAAGAGCTATCTGTTAATCGGTTCACCCCCTTTCTTTTTTTTTTTTTTTTGTTTTTTTTTTTGTTTTGTTTTGTTTTGTTTATTTTTAATTATTCAATTCTGTCGCTTGTACGATGAGTATCGTGCACGTTGCTTGGAAGGATTTCCCCCCCTTTAAAAAAAAAAATAAAATAAAAATGTGTGGCGTGCCCACTTTTTTATAGTGGAGGGAGGGGAGAACCAAAAACATTAATTATTATTATTATTATCCTTTACGTTTGGGTGCTGTGCTTCCCACTGAAGATATTCCCCATTCCCGCTTTTTTTTTTTTTCCTTTTTTTTTTCACTTTTATTCTTACAAACGAGCCTACGTATACTTCTCTGTTCTGTGAGATTTCATGGGGGGCTTTTGCTGGTAAGAAGGAAGGAGAGGCGGGGAATTGGTTTGTTGTTGTTGTTGTTATTGACTGCCGTAGCGGAAGATGGCGACGAGGGAGGATGCAAGAGTAGTTCATGTCTTTGTAGAAGATCCATCGGTCGTCCTCATAGAAGACGTGCACGACTGGCTGCGGATCATTGATGATGTTGAGGAGGCAAAGGAGCAGTACGACACGGCGCGGCGGTGCCGATTTTATTGGCTGCGCTTTAAACATGGGTTCGCGGCGCAGCTGGCGGTGAACTACCTTGACGGGGAGAAGCTGAAAAACAATGTCGTCCGCATCTTTTCGAGCGTCTACACCAAGCGAACTCCGGTGGAGGCTGACGCGGAAGACACCACACATCCTGAGGGAGAAAAGGAGGAGCAGCAGGCAGTGGAAAATCCAAATCTTCCGTTCAATCATCGCATGCCTTCCGATCTGCGGATGGATACGCCGCTTGTTGACAGTATACCGACGCTGCTGTCGGCTGCCGCTGAGGGAAGCGAGCAACACGATCTCGTTCAGCAACTATGCCAACTGCAAAAGTCATATTGCCAAGTTCAGGAAATGATTCAGGCAGCCGAATTAAATATTCAAAAGGCAGACGAAGAGGTTATGCAGCTTCTTCGGGGAAATGACAAGTCATCCGGTTCTGTGGTAAATGGAATTAATGACAAGGCTGAAGATGACAGAAGCCCAGAGTTGAGACGAAGCAGGCGCCTTGCCAATACCGTACAAATACCCATGACCCTTCTTGACCCAGCGAGCCTAATCGTGAAATTCACCCGGCACATTGGGCCAGTGACGGATTATTCTTTTAGTGTATCCCCCGATGGGCATTTTTTTCGGACCGTCGTGGAGTTTTTTCATGAGGATGATGTGATTTACGCGTTGCAAATTCTGAACGGAGGTGGGAGTAGTAAAGCTGCAACTCATTCCACAAAACGTACCCGTTTAGAGTGTGACGCCGAAGAGGCATTATCGCCTCTATCCGTGTACAATTGGGGTGAAGACGCATCGGCTGACTTGCTGCGTCCACCTGATCTCTCTCTGTTTTATAACCCCGCACACATTCAAGCCATGAATGTGCTTCAGTCGTGCTTGAATTGAAAACGATGTGACAACTTACTCGTCTCGCGTTGGATGAATTCGTAACACTCTGCACATGTGCCAAACAGAGGGAAGGGTTAGGCTTATGGTGGAATGTGGCTTTCTCTGATTTTTTTTTTTTTTAGTCTCCCAATCTTATGACGATAACCCCGTGCATTTAATAATACGGCAGCACTTCGAAGCCTCAACTTGCCAGCTTCCTCGCAGTAAATGCATTGCTTTTTTCCCTTTGTGCCGCTGTTGCGGAAGGAAAAGTGTGTGTGTGTTTCTTGCCTTTTTTTTGTTGTTGTTGTTGTTGCTGCCGTTCAGTTTATCATTACCAGCAACAGCAGCAGTGAACAAATACACATAGATGGCGAACCTGCAAGTGACCGTGGAGGCGCCGATCAACATTGCCTTCATCAAATATTGGGGAAAACGGGCGGGTGGGGAGAAACTGATTCTCCCCGCAAATGATTCCTTCAGCATTACCCTCTCCACTCATCCATTCCGCACCAAAACGTCAGTGGTACTTCGCGATGATTTGGAAGAAGACACGCTTATAATTAACGGAGAGAAATCGGATGTGCGAAGTACGCCTCGAATTCAATCGGTGTTGGAATATGTGCGGAGTACGTGCCCTGATGAGCTAAAAAACAAACGGGTTTATATTGTCTCCGAGAACAACTTTCCCACCGCAGCTGGAATGGCATCTTCCGCGAGTGGGTACTGCGCTCTTGCGGCGGCGTTAGTGCGGGTCTTTAACTCTACTGCAAATGTGTCGATGCTTGCTCGAATGGGATCCGGGAGTGCCTGTCGCAGCACCCTTGGTGGCTTTGTGATTTGGCATAAGGGGGAAAAAGAAGATGGGAGTGATTGCGTGGCAACTCAATTTGTTGACGAAAATTACTGGCCTGAGATGCAGGTCTTGTGCGCCGTTCTCCAGGGGGAGAAGAAAAACACTTCAAGCACGGCAGGAATGCAGCAATCTTTGCAGACTTCTCCACTGATGCCCAAACGCATTGCCACCACTGTCTCTGAGCGTATGCGAACTGTCTCCGAGGCAATTAAGGCGAGGGATTTTTACACATTTGCACAAATCGCAATGAGTGAATCGGATGACCTGCAAGCAATATGTGCTACGACGCAGCCTCAGATTCAGTATGCTACGGAGGACAGTTATGCGATGATACGTCTTGTGAAAACTTATAATGCCAAAAAGGGCCATCCCACATTGGCATATACGTTTGACGCGGGGGCGAATTGTTTTTTGTTTGTTCTTGAAAAAGATCTTCCAGAGGCGGTGGCAATGTTAATGCAACACTTCCCAACCCCATCCGAACGATTTTACTTCCATGACGCGATGTTGCTGCAAAAGATCCAGGAGGCCACCGTGCCTCACGAGTATGAAAACATCATAGATTATCCGAAAAAACCGTTTGTTATGCTCCTTCAGTCGCCCGTTGGGTCGGGTGTGCGTTATCTCTCGGAGGGGGAGTCCCTCATTTCTTTGTAGAATTGATATGCCCGCTGAATGGCATCAAAGAATAGGAGTGATAGGTGAGAAAGTATCGTGTCCAAAGAACAGGGGAAAATATATGCATGGCAGCTGGGCCCAGCGACACGCGTGGTGAGTAATCGCCCCACTACGGTTTCGGCAACGTTTCCTTTTTTGTTTTGTTTCTCACTATTTGTTTTTGCCAAAGTTATTGAAAACCTGCAGGCCGAACGGCGTGGCATGAACTGTTTTGGGTACAATAAATAATAATAATAATAATAATAATAACCAGCGGGTAAATCATTGTGGATTTTCATGCAAGGCGTATTTTATTTTTTCTTTTTTTTGAGGGGGAAAATTTATAGGCGGATTTATGGATCGGACGGTGTCCGAGACGCGCCCACGCTCTGCGGTGGGACGGCCACCGGCGCGAAAATGCGTTTCAGGCTGTTGTGCAACGAAGTAGTCCGCTTCTTTTTTTTGTTGTTGTTGTTGTTTTGTTTTTTTTTGTTTTTCGTAGCGACTAGCCCGCCATTGAGCCACCACGTGGGCGGCGTTCTCACCATTAGCGGGCAGCCAACTCTTTGCAAGGCGGTTCCAGGACAAAGGAACAAATTGCACCTCGTTGCGACACTCTGTCGCTGTCATCACAGCGCCGAGGAACCCTGAGTCCATTCAAGCCTCTTTTGAGGAGGAAGAAGCACACCGCTGTTTGGAACAAGTGGGCGGCACTTGAAGGAAGGCAGTTAGCGCTGCAGCGCCCATATGAGTGCGCTTGGGCTCAGTTGGAGGCTAAAAAATATTGGCGTGCAGCTCAGATGCCCACGTGCAGTTCCATGCGGTGCGGATTCGATTGGCGCCGATGCAAAGGTTGCTCATGGCAATCAATGGGACGACAACTTGGCGCCCCTCAGCACTCCGCAAGGCCCGTCACAAGTCTCCACCGCTTCTGCCACGGGAGGTTGGAGTGTGTCCCATACGGCAGAGACAATCGAAAGATCCTACAAATTCATGACGTGCCAGAGGGATTAGAGCTGTTACTCGGCCCACGGGGCACACAGGGGCCCAAGCGGGGGATCCGTGGGAAGCGGGGATTTGTACGGAGGATTGCAGTCGCACCATTTGACGGCGTATTGAAATGCATGATGGATGCGACGCCGGCTGCGCCAGGTCCCGGCATGCAGACAGCCGTGAGGGGAACGGTGCGTCCTGGGCGTGCGCCACTCGCGGGGGAGAGATGCTTATGGAATCTTGCCAGTTGTCAGGGCGACTGCGTACACTCAGTCACATGGATCCTCCGGACAGTGAATAACGATGCTGGAGTGCGGGTCGAGGACATTCAGGGTGCTGTTGAAATGCCCAGAAACGGGACCACCCTTTCCCCTAGGAGGTTCCGAGAGCAAACAAAGAGCATGCCGCATCCCCGCCCAATGAAGCACGATGCCGCAAACGTGGTTGGATTGGAAAACACAACACGGCGTGCCGAGTGAAGCTGCGCAAGGAGGCCTTTAAGCACACAAAAAAAGGGACTTTCGGCTCCGGAAGCAATGCCTTCTGGGCCGGTACAGGTGGGGAATCACCATCAATTTCCGGGTGTGACCGCGCGGCATGGGTTCCTCTCAACGCCGCGCTCGTGGTGGTGCCGTGGGCCACCTCACCAAGACGTCGGCGCAGCTGTTATCTTTGCTGGAAACGAGTTGGTGCGCCGGGCGACGGTGCTGTGGGCACAATTGTCGCCGGGGAAGGACGGCACACGACCATATTTTCTGAGGGCCACAGCATCGTTTGGCGCACCCATAGCCGTCGGGTTGCGTTGCGGGACGAGAAGGAGGATTGCTTGTCCCTGGCGACGAGTGGACCTGTGCACTTTTCATCCCTGAAGTGGATCCGACGGCGGATGAATTCAACGGCACGCGGCTGTGTTGACGATTTGTGGAAGGACACTGTGTTACGATCCGTCACCTCGACGAGCGATGGGAAAGAACTGAATTTGCGGATCTCCGCACAGCATGCGCTGCTTGTGAAAATGGCGGGTATTATTTGTGGAGCCATGGAAGTGCCCGTCGCAGGATGGGCCGGCGGTGCCTTTTGCGGCGGTGTTGGACAAGCCGTCAGGACAGAGATGGCGGTTCATCGCATGGCCAAAGGCAAGGAACGCCCATGAGGACGCTGAGGTCATGTTTATTTTGCCATTTCACATTTCCCAGTATCTTAGCGCAATGTGGGACGAAGCCGCCGCTTTACTGGATGTGGATGCGTCTTTTTACAGGCAGCTCTCTTGGCGGATATGCACGGGCGAGTTTCCGCTGTCGAGTGGAACTCGTGGATCTCGTGGAATTGATTCGCCTCCACACGGGCCGCGAGTGTTGTCCGGAAGTTCCCCGCACCGCCGCGAGGGCCTTGGCGGAGGACCCCGAGATGGTAAGACCGCAGTCTGTGGCGCCGCGCGTGGTAAGGAGACTTCTGTTTGGATTAGCAGTATCCGGACCAGCGGGCGGCGGAAGAGCGTGGTTCGGCGGGACCAATGTGCGGCCAAGAAGTGGCGCCAACGGGAGAACAGGAATTCCTTTCCAAGTGGTGTGAATCTATTGGCTTATCGTTCAGCCGCGAGACGAAGAGCGCCGCCTTGAAGCACGATGCGAAGACGAGGATTGAGGGAGGCCGCGTTTCTCCGAACGCCTGCAGCTGAGGGTGTGAATGGCGTGGCCCACGTATGATGCTGCGCGGCGGTGCGGGGGATTCTCTCTTTTGACATTAGCTCTTGTTTTTTCAACACATTGCGTCCCTGAGCGTCGTGTCCTCACGATCCCGCAGAAGTGCCGCCATACGCACCGAAAGTGCGGCAGGAGCGGCCCCGCAAATTGCCGGAGAAGGAGCTCGTTTGCCTTGGGGCAGCCTCGCCAGCTCCTGCCATGTTGGCGACAGACGCGTCCATGCACGGATGGAGCGGTTTACTGCTTTTGGGGCGGGGGAATTGTTGGCGGCTGGCGGCGCGCGGGAACGGGTGCCAAACGCAATTCGCCCGCCGACGAGACCCCGATGGGATCACCACTGGTGGAGTTTCGCTGCCCAACATGTGGCTTTTAGCAATAAACCAATGACGGACCGACCCGCCACCGCACGGCACGCCACGGGCATCGACCAGAAATCGTGAAAACCGGCGAACGTGAATTGTGCAATGAAACAGGTCCGCATCCACTCCGCTGCCCGGCGCTGCCGGCAATTAGACATAACATGAAGCGGACACTTGGAAATTGGGGAAGCTGTGCCTCACGAAAAGGGTTGGCGCAGTTTTCCCGCCTGGGTGGAAAGGCTCTGCCCCCCAACAGTGCCTCTGCGCGGCGAGAAGGCACGAAGCTTCTCGAAGATGCGACGTAACTTCGATGCTGGTGGCAGGCGCCTCCTCATTTCTCATTATTTATCGATTATTTGGTTGGTTGATTTATGGTTTTGTTATTGTGCTGATTATCGGCAGCAATGGATTACTGAGCCACGGCGCTATTCCGGGGCGGAGGCGTGAAAGGGTTTTGTTTCACGCCCTCCGCTGCAGCTGCCTCTCTGGGGGCCGGGGCTCTCCTTCACGTCTCCACTCAGCAGGGCGGACGTGCTCGACGATGGTGGCCGGCGTGCGGGTCGTCGAATTTATTTGAGGAAACACGAGAAAAAACAACAACAAAAAGCGGTTGGAGCCAGCTTCCTTAGCCACGGAGGGACGGGTTGTAGCACACGCGCGTATTCGTTGTCGCTAGCAGCCCCTGGGAGGTGCTGCGGAGGGACTTCCTCCCGCACGCAAGAGGCGCGCACACGGCGGACGGCCTTTGCGCTGCTGGAGGAACTCTCAGTGCTGCGGAGGGTCACAGAACGCACCATGGGTCCGGTGTGTTGGCTTTTGGGGCAGCTTTTGGCGACGCTCCGATCCGGCGTGGTCATGGGGCGGTGGAGAGAGCAACGGCGAACACGGCGAATTTAACGCAAAGGGATGGCAGGCGGCGCGGTGCGGAAGAGACGGTCATAATCGTTGCACCGCCGGCGCGCCTGTTGTCGAGCACCTCGAGAGAACGACGATGAAAGGAGGTTCGTCTGGATTACTCTTCGCATCCCCGCTTCAGGGCTGCCCATCACGATGAGGCTGCCGTGCAGTGATGCCACATGATATGAGCTGCTTGGAGAGAGTGTGTACTGTGCGCTGCTCCTGGCCCTGGAAAGGCTGATTATCCCTTGTATCCAGCACAGGCATAAAACTCTGCTTGTGGTTGCAGACAGTCAGTCTCTTCTTGCGGCTTTAAACAAGGGCCCGCTCAGTCAAACCGACTGGACGGAGGATCGGATCTGGCAGCGTCTCTTGACACTGACGTGTGCTGGCTGATCCGTGCACCTGCAGTTTTGTTACGGACATTGTGGAGTACATGTTAACGAGCTTGCAGATCAGTATGCGACGCAGACTATGGAAACTGGACAATACACGGAACATGAAATTGCACCTTTATGGCATACGGAGCTGCTGACATGTTTTACCACCCTGCTCACCAATACGTGGCGTAGTACCATTCGTCAAGACACTCATCGCTACTTGCTTTGCGGCACAAGGCCATCAGATCTCAGCGGCAAGGACCTGATCATTCAGGAAGTTCTTCACCGTCAAGAACTGATTCACCTCGCAAGGGCAAGGTGCGGGGAATCTGAGCTCTGGGGCCGACTATACTGGGCTGTGAGAGATTGCACGAACCAATGCCGTTTCTGCAACATCTCACCGGAACAGTCTGCATATATGCGCTCCAACAACGATCCAACTGCACCGGGGACGGACACTGTTCCCCCGTCGGCAATGGATGAAGACGTCTCTCCACTAAGGAGACGGACCGTCACACGTCGTCGGAAGGAGAAATGTCCGTACTGTGATTCTACATTGACGGGATTCTCGAATCTCGTCAGTCACTGTCGGTCATTTCATCCGGAACATCCTCCACCGCTTCCCGAGCTCAAATGCGATTTCTGTGACATGGTTTTCCCCACACGGAGAAGCACCGCACAGCACAGAAGTCGCTGCGCACACAACCCAGACGCCACACGACATTTAAACAGAAGTGCCAGGAGGCGATCTCTGCTACCGCAGGATCAGCCAGCTTCCACAAGCACGCCGATTGGCCCGCAGGAAACCTTGCACCATCTGCTTCTAGAATGTCCAGGCACCTTGCTGTGCGCCAAAGGCTGGGCATTGAACAGGACCTCCGCACCGAAAAGTTCTCTCAATGGCAGTTGCTTCATAGCAGGAAACTTTTGTCGTTGCTTGGCCACCTCTTCATCACCCAGACGGCATCGTATAGCCAGACGTGTTGGTAAGATTAGGGAAAGACCGAAGAAAATGTAAAGAACGGGAAAAAAAGTGAAGAAGCGGAATGCCATCAATGGATTGGAGTGAACTTCCCGATCAACCGCAGTGAAACAAATGGACAGGCGTTCACGAAGGTAACCCTATTTATTTTGGAAAAAAAGCCGTGATAATTTCGTAATATCGTATTCAATGTGTATTTCAGCAGTTACCATGACTCAGTGATGCCGTATTTTATTGAGACTACACAAGTTACTCAATCCATTCATTTCTTCTCTCAAGGTAAGCCAATTGACAAGCATACAAGCAGCTAAAGTGCACTGTGAAAGAACCAAAAGAAAAAACACACACACAAGGATGCGTCACACTCTGCTATTCCAGGCGCTGCTGCTCTGCTGCGTCTCTGGTTCTGTTGCCGTCGCTGAGCATCACTGCATCTCCGATGAAATTGAAAAAAAGGTTGGACCCCGGACAACAGCAGTGGTGCTAGAGCTGCCAACTCGGGAAAGTGGCATGATGCGGGCGATGACTGCCTCGGATTCCGAATGGGCGCCCATCCGCTTTCAAGTCTTCACGGAGGATCTGAACGATCCCTCAAAGTACTGCACCGCCGAGGGGCAGATTCGTCCGGACTTTACTGGGGGAACTGTTGAGTGTAAGGAAAAGGATATTTTAACTGAGGAGAAAAAGTCCATCATGTTGAAATCCCTTATTCCCCAAGCACTTAAAATGCATACGGATCGTCTCCTTGTTAAGCCTCTCACGGTCAATGTTATTGTGCCGACGTTTTATTCGGGTATATGCGCTCAGTTTACAATACCGAGCTCCCACCACACAGAGGGTGTGAGCGGTGCGGACATGTACTTGTATGTCTCCGCTGCCCCTATAAAGAGTTCCACTCTTGCGTGGGCTACTACATGCTCTCGCGCAGTAACTGGGCGTCCTATTATTGGTGTGATGAATTATGGCCCGAACTTTGTGACTGATTCGGAGTACAGCGTTCGTACTCTAGCGCATGAGATTGCACATGCTCTTGGATTTACTTTTGGGATAATGAAGGAACGCAAAATGGTGAAAGAGGTTAAGGGTGTGCGTGGCAAGGCAGCAGTGTTTCAGGTGTCGTCACCCAAGACGGTGGAGAAGACTCGTGAGCACTTCAAC